TTTGGGCTATACTAAGGTGTACCCATATTTGGGGGAAGTACCCGCATCTCTTTTTCTTGGTTCTGCTTGACCGGCTTGACCTGTGGTGCGGTTGTCCTTCCATGCTGCTTCGCGCGTCCAGCTAGTTCTCTTGCCCTCCTTGTTGATGTGATCATCCAAGGCCCATTCAGATGCTTGTTCCCTTTGGCACTTTAAGCCCTTAAATCCCTAAAGCCGACAGCCCTAACCCGATCTCATCTTATTTAGTTGTCTTGCTACAACAGAGGCTTTCGGTTTCGTGCGAGGGCTTCGATCCAGGCCCTTATTAAAGGTCTGAAGTGCTCTGTGTCCGATGTCAAGATCTTGCTTGCTGTGGCACTTTCGTGCAAGTCGGCGTTGCAAGCCGGAGACATCGGAAGATGGAGAGTTTTTACTCCTGCGCATGCTTGACGGGCCTTTCATTCTAGTGGAAAGGGCCGCAAACGTGCGCCACATGCTCGTCAATTCACCTCCGCGCTGGTTCATAGCTTGGTGACGTTGCTTGGATCAGACATGCTACGAAGCCAAAGCCTCCCCTGGGACACGTTTCAAAACGAAACAAAAACACACAGGAGTTGAAGTTTCAGCTCCTGGCCAGTTCTGATTGTTCCCGTGCATTCAGGAAGCCTCGCTTCGAATATACCAGCCCGTGCACCCCTATGGGCAGTTCTGGAGATGGTGCTCTATTTAGGTCCCCTAAATGAGGTGTCGCCCTGAGAAATAAGGACAATTTAACGACCCCCCACCCGTGGGTCTTTGTGCACTCAAGCCTCAGAACACCGAACTGGGAGGTTTCTGGATTTAGCTAGGGTTTAGGCTTACGAGCCCTCAGCCCCAAGCCCTAAGCCCCCTCAAACTGAACTCCTTGTCCTCCTCATCATTGTTGAAAAAAGTCGGCAGGGCAACCAGCCAAAGTGTTACACAATTCATACTGGGAGCTGAGTTGGAATGCTGATTCTACATTGGTCTCTCTCTCTCTCCCTCTTCCGCTGTCTCTGTCTGAGATCGGGAAATGCTACAGATGTTTCCAGACTACGGTTCTGGGTCACGTCGCTATGAGAACCTTGCGTTGCTAACGAATGAAAGCTTGCTTGCTTGCGCTCTCCACTGGGCAACCGTCCTCGTCAAGCGGGTCACAGGCACCTTAGTGTGCACACAGCGTTACCAGTCAACATTGGCGTCTGCTGGGAGAAGCAGGTACTGTTGCTCGCATCACTGACATCGCTGCGCTCTGCACGGAGCGCGGTAGAGTTGTACGAGCGGGCAAGAAATGGCAGCCAGCGAAGCCGAGCGATGCTGCCAAGCCCGGCTCCATATGCACTGCCTTCAGACTCACTTACGTACGCACAAAGCCTTTCACTCGGTCTTATCATTCTTCATCCCAAGCTTCGCAGCTGCGATTCCACTGCGTCTCGCAAGCACCGGTACAGCTTGTCGCTCTTCCTCGCCATACTAGTAGCGGACACGGAGGTTGACGCTGAGCAAAAGAGGGGCCGGTGTCACGTCTGGCATGACAGTCGATGAGCTGCAGTGCATCCCCGGCGGAGTTCCACATTTCACAAGCCGGGATTTGGGCGCGAAGGGCTTGGGGGCCCACTAGGTAAGACAAAGATGGTAACCTTCAGCAAGCTGTCGCGGAAGCCGCCCGTTCGCGCTCTCCGGCACCCGGTTGGTGATCCTGAAATGTCTTGACGCTATGTATCGTCTGTGGACCCAAAGCTCCAGACCAGTGGAAGGATGGATCACCTGTGGCCCATCGGCCTGACCAGCCAAGCAATCACTGCCCCGATTGGCTCGGAGCATCGAGAGCGGATCTGTACACGCAGCATCGTATGCCGCACGCAGCCCATGACTCACACCTCGCATGTGCGTGGAGCAGTGGCAGCGAAAATCTGAAGTCAAGCATGTGTGCCGAGAAAAACCATCACGGCTTAAGGTACTTCGGTGGGTGTGTGGGTCGCTTGAGGTTAAAAGTGCCTACCGAAATCAAAACATCGCAAAACACAGAGCCCTGTGTCTTATGTGTTATACCTACTAATTAAGGGGTAGTTGCTACCAAGCTGTAGGTGAAATAGCGTCCCGAAACCCAACGCGAGAGCCTAAGCTTGGCCAGGGGTGCGCGTGACTCAGAAAATTGGCCAGGCGCGTGGTGCGGCTTCATGTGGTTTTTTTGTTTTCCCTAAACCCTAAACCACAAACAACTCCCCAAACCCTAAACCCTAAACCCTAAACCCTAAACCCTAAACCCTAACACCCTAACACCCTAAACCCTAACACCCTAACACCCTAACACCCTAACACCCTAACACCCTAACACCCTAACACCCTAACACCCTTGAAGGGCTCTTTAGGGCTGAGGGTTTAGCACGGGCTTGGAGGGTCCGGAGTGCCAAGCCTCTGCTTTTGTTCGGTTTGGACTTTCGGGAACATCGGCAGGGTCCGCGTTTGTGGGAAGCGGGTTGCAGCTGCTCAGACTGTTAGCGGAGTCGACTCCTCGTGAACGTGGGTTTCGGGTTTCGGGTTTAGGGTTTAGGGTTTAGGGGTTTTCTTGAAGTTGCTAGCAGCAGCAGCAACCTGACCCAAGCTTCCTGGCTTAAGGTTTCGATTTCGGGTGTTAGGAGTTGTTGGCTTGAGGCAAGCTGCTTCGGAACAGCGCAGTCTAGGGTTGTTTTCTGCATACCTCGCCTCCCATACCTTGACCTTCGGTTCCTCTGGGGAACGGGACAGGTAAGACGAGGTGCAGTGAGGGTTAGGGTTTTAATTCTTTGGGTTCGGTTGAGGGTTGGGTTAGGGTGAAAGAGGAGTAGGGCTGGGAGATCAAGCTGCCTTCGCAAGATGTTGGTATGGGTTCGGGTTTAGGGTTTAGGGTTTAGGGTTTAGGATTTAGGGTTTAGGGTTTAGGGTGCCTTGCTTATGGGGGTTGGGTTTGGGTGCGGGCCTTTTGCCCCAATCAGGTTTCTTTTAAGCACCCGAAGCTCTACACGCTAAACCGTACTAAGCCCCAAGCCCTAAACCCTAAACCCCAAACCTCCCTAAGCCCTAAGCCCCATAGAGCCCGAAAGCCTTAACCCAGAATCATTCGCCCTGGAGCCTGGCTAGGAGAATCCGGGGGTGCTGGAAGCAGGCAAGCCGCCCGGGGTTTCGGTTTGCTGGTTGGGGTTTCGCGTTCTCTTTGACCCCAACATCAACCAGACCTTCAACCACTGCAATAAAGGAACACTTTCATTTTTGCCGGGTCTTCACTTTGTGGTGCTTTACTGTAACTTTAGATCCTTAGCCTTTTATTTTTGTGCCTATTGGATTTCTTAAAATAAAAGGAAGCGGAAAAATTGATTATAGCTACCCTCCGAAGAGCAGCCAAGTTCAACTCAGTTTTGCTTTGGACGATAGGGGAAGTCGATGTAAGCCGCCCCTAACGCCTGGACCCTAACCCCATCAAGCCTCACCCCTCAGCCCTAAACCCTAAACCCTCAACCCTCAACCCTAAGCCAGGTCACTGGGGGAAGGGGGACCCAGGATCCACGCCCTCAGCCCGAAAACCTCAACCCTAAACCCTAAACCCGAAACCCTAAACTCTAAGCCCTAAACCCTAAACCCTAAACCCTAAACCCTAAACCCTAAACCCTAAACCCTGCTGCTGGTCTGCTGCCTGCCGACAGGAACAAAGAGTGGACTGCCCGGGCCCACCGAGGCTGGCGGACTTTAGGGCTTTCAGCGTGTGCTGCGGCCCGAAGCACGTAAACCTAAAGGGGTTAAGGATTTAGGGTTTAGGTTAGGGTTTAGGGTTTAGGGTGTAGGGTTTAGGTTTTAGGGTTTAGGGTACTAAGCCCAATACCTTTAGGAGTTTAGGGTTTAGGGCTTCGGGGCCCAGAACTCACATTCCGAACCCTAAACCCTTAACTCCTTAACCCTTAACCTCCGAGCCCTCAATCTAGCAACGACCTTTTGGGTTCAGGGCTCGGGGTCAACAGGGACCAGGAGGGTTTGGGGATTGAGGAGTTTGGGTTCAGGGGTTAGGGTTTAAGGAAGGGTTAGGGTTTAGGGAGTTTATGCTTTAAGGGTTGGGGTTTCTGGACTTTAGGGGTTCAAGGGTTCGGGTTTAAGGAGCTGTTGCACGACGCTCGGGCGTCAGAATACCGTTTTGAGGAGCTGATCCTAAACCCTAAACCCTAAACCCTAAACCCTAAACCCTAAACCCTAAACCCTAAACCCTAAACCCTAAAAACCCTAAACCCTAAACCCTAAACGCTAAACGCTAAACCCTAAACCCTAAACCCTAAGCCCTAAACCCTAAACCCTAAAGCCTAAACCCGAAACCCTAACCCAACGCTCGGATTCCTGGCCGAGCCGCGAACTCACACAAGCCCAGGCCCTCAAGCCTCCAAGTTCTAAACCCTCCAGGGCACCCCAAACCCCACATCCCCCTAAACCCTAAACCCTAAACCCTAAACCCGAAACCCTAAACCCTAAACCCGAAACCCTAAACCCTAAACCCTAAATCCAAGCCTTCGATCCCCCGCCCATGGCTCTGTGGCGTGCGGTCGGTGGCCGCGGAAGTGGGGGCTTACTCGCCCGCCAGGCAGGCTTAGGGTTTAGGGTTGAGGGTTTAGGGTTTAGGGTTTAGGGTTTAGGGTTGGGGTTGAGGGTTTAGGGTTTGAGGTTTAGGGTTTAGGGTTTCGGGTTTAGGGCCTGAGGATGTGTTAGGGCGCCAGTGACAGGGGTTCAGGGTTTACTTTCTACAGTCAAGTTAGGTATGTCTGTTCTGTAGTTGTGTTTTTCAGGTAAATCCAAAGGGATTTCTGCAACGAGTGTTTTCCTTGTGGTTCAGTATAGTTATGAGGGGTTTGGGGTTTAAGGGCTTTGCGCTTCTAGAGCTTCAGGGCCTTAGGGTCCACTTTGATTTCAGAGTCGTTTGGGGGTCTCGGGTATTTCGTTCTGCTGGTGGTGGACCTGGGCAATCCCACATTCGGCGTTGGCGAAGGATGTCGGTGCAGCTACAGGACAAGGAGGTGAATACCAGTACATGACATGAAGTAGGGAGCAATCTCAGCCCCATGCCCCACACCCCTCCAACGATGCGGTGCTGAAGGCCTAAAAACCCTCAAACCCCACACCAAAAAAGCCCCAAACGTGAAACGCCCCCAAGCCCCAGTCCCTAAGCCCTAAACCCTAAACCCTAAACCCTAAACCCTAAACCCTAAACCCTAAACCCTAAACCCTAAACCCTAAACACTAAACCCTAAACCCGCCTCCCATTGGTCAGGGTCAGTCCTTGAGCTCAGCGGCGTTGTCGCCACGGCTGGCCACCGGCACGGTGGTGCGTGAGGCCGTTTCATGTAACAGAGGGGTCGGAATATTGTAAACGCTTGCGCGCGCGCCGCCTTGGCTGCCGGGTTGGCACGCTTTTCGAAAAAGGCCTCAACAAAACCGGGAGGGGGAATGGTCCCAGGGGTCCCCAGCCAAATTCGTGCATTTTGGAGTGCCCTCTCTGCCGACAGGAGGGACCCCCCACGGCATCGGTTTGCGGCTCCTCCAAACGATGGGGGGGTGTCCCACAGGGCGGGTAGGGGGAAGGAGACCGGATCCGTGTCTGCATTGTTCCAAACGCTTCTCGGCAGGAAGTTGAGGCGAATTACTAATAGTTTTCCCTTACGGCCCCTCTATAATCATACTACAATTATCACCAAAACCCTCTCCCACGCGCATCAAATGCAACTGCTGGGGAACACGCAAAGACCCACACGATACAGCCTATTTGGAATGCAAATGAGCAATGTTATTTTTGCTGCAAACTCTTGCAGTTCTCTGTTGAGCCACGAACTCTCATGAGAACTTGCCCGCGGGCTACTGACCTTGCTGATTCGACCTACCGCGAATGGCACAACTCTTTCGTTGTTATCGAAGCTTCTTTACAACGCATTCTTCACATTCTTTAAAGTATGAGTCTAGAATGATATTCTTGTGAGTGTACAAAACACTCTGTTTCACCATCATCGCACAGACTTCGGTCCGCATACCCCCAAAACCCTGTTCTGATTATTAAGGCCCCTCTATTAGGGCTTTGTTCAGGGCATAGGGACTGCCATGCCCATCAGTGGTGCAAGCCCTCAACCCTCCCCACCCCTGAGGCCATTAAAGGTGGGGCGAATCCCAAAATCCGAGACCAGTTTTAAACTCAACGGGGCTCAGGCTAACCCTGACTTCGAGTTTGAGGAGAAGCATGATGTAGGGCTTCGGGCTCGTCTCAACAGTGATTACATGGTTCCCTCAGTATGGTTCTGCACCTTTGTTAGAGGGACTTGACGTATATGCAACGGAAACTGAGCGCCTGAATCACGAACCTCTACCGATTCTGCCCTTCTCCCCGATCCAAAATCCCAAAACCCCTAAGCTAAACCCTTAACCTTGAAACCCTGAACCCTAAACCCTGAACCCCTTTAAACCCTAAACCCTAAACCCTAAACCCTGAACCCTAAGCCCAGGGCCGATTTTCTCTCCCCCGAGGTGCAGGTGGCTGGGGACCGTTTGCAGTTCACGCTCGTGGAGGGGGACGGCCCTGCGGAAGGATGGGCGCACCCCGTCTTCTTCGTATTGGGTAGAGGACCCCAAAACCCTTGAACGTTTAGTTCAGGCCCTAAACCCTAAACCCGGAACCCGGAACCCTGAACCCTTAACGCTGAAGCCTAAACCCGAAACCCGTGAACCATTCAGGGGGATGCGCTCCAGAACTCCTAAACCCTAAACCCGAAACCCTAAAACCTAAACCCTAAACCCTAAACCCGACATAACCCCTGCATCCTTCTTTCGGATCCGTCGGCCGAGGAGCCTCCACCTCAAAGGCGTCTCAGCTGACCTGCGACTGTGGCCGTGAGGGTGTAGGGTTTAAGGTTTAGGGTTTAGGGTTTGAGACTGTTTGGGGCCTTGAGGGTTCAGCATTTGGGGTTAGACGGTTAGTTGTAGGGTCGAGTGATTGAGAGTGTCTAGGGCTGAGGGTGCTGCACAGTCCCCATCTCTCATTTCAACCTGAAAGAATCCGCAACCCTAAGCTGTACCTTGAGTTCGAGTTCTCCCTAAACCCTAAACCCTAAACCCTAAACGCCCTAAGCCCTGAGCCTGAACGTCGATCCTGAATCGCAAGCCTGACAACCCCGAATCCAAGCTCCAAGACCCAACGCCCTAGTGCCCGACGCCCGCACCCACTAAGGCTCCGGGTTCCTGGTCCCTGTTTAGGGTTTATATAGGGTTTCGGGCTTAGGGGTTTAGGGTTTAGGGGTTTAGGGTTTAGGGGTTTAGGGTTTAGGGTTTAGGGTTTAGGGGTTGTTTGGGGTTGTGGGCTTGGGGTTTGGCATTGTGGGTGGGGTTTACAGGTGTTCCGGGCTTTAGTGGTGGGGGCTGAGCATAGAGGCCATGTATGACCTCAACCCACCCCGTGTATGATAGGGCTGAGGGTCTGACATCAGACCAAGTTTTCGTGGTGGCGATAAGAAAATCGTGTTATTTGGTTTGCCCTCATTACGGTTTAGGGTTTACGGTTTAGGGTTAAGGGTTTAGGGATTAGGGTACTTATTACTGCATTCATCGGTATTTCGTGTCTGGCTGAGTGAGGCACGCTCCTGAAGCCTGATGCCCTCAAAAAGCTCCCGACCCCATATGGGAAACCCACAACTTGGGATGTCCCCCCTTATATCAAGAGTCCTTAATTGGGATTATAGTACCCCTACTATTATTAAGGACTGTTTGTATAAGGGGAACATCCCAACCCAAAACCTTTAAGCCCAAGATTTTTCCACTCAACACCCCCAGGCCCCAAATCCTGAACCCTGGCGCCCGTTGTCACCCTCACCAGCAAGTCAACGTGAACCCTAAACCCTGAACCCTAAACCCTGAAACCCCATGAAATCCCACATCCCCCAAGAGGCAAGCCACTGCGGCTTGGATGCATCCGAAACCAACAACAAAAGCCCAACATAGGGACCTTATACAGGCACACTTCTAGTGTATGCGGGCCTACTTTCTGGGGTTTAGGTTTGAGGGACTTTTTGAGGGCTTCTTCCAGGAAAAGGTGGGAGTGAGGGAGTGAGGTTCACGGAATGATGGATTTTGGGGTTTTTCATGGATTCAAGGTTTGTTTGCTGGCCTGTTTTCTTGAACTCCACAAGCCCCAAGCCCCCAAACCCTGAACCCCAAATATGCACACAACCCTTAAGCCCCCAGTACCCACATTCACGAAAGCCCCCTTTCGACGTTTACCAAAAAGCAAAGTGCAAGCCATAATCATCCCTTTGCCGAACCCCAAACCCTGGGCAACAGTTTGGCAACAGTTTGAGGGTCCACCCCTGGGTAGCATAGTCACTGCTGGCAGAGACAGCATGCAAAGAAGAGGTTGCGCGAGAGGTGCAGACAGAATTTGCCCCAGATCCTTCGCGACAATGTCGCAGCAAGGTTCGAGAAGTGCCAAGGAGAACCAAGCGAGAGCATCTCAGATGCAGATGTTCAGCCGTACTTCTTAAGTTGCAAGCCATTTTTGTGCAAGCATTGAGTCAGCCCTGAGCCCGGAACCCTAAACCACTAGAAACTCACTGACAGGCGAGGCCAGGCACCTCCCTTCTGAGATGGATTTGGGGTTAGGGCCAAGTGCTTTCTAGCCGAATTACCCATGAAGCTGCAAGTAAATAAACCCTAAGCCCTAGCCCTAAACCCTAAACCCTAAACCCTAAACCCTAAACCCTAAACCCTAAACCCTAAACCCTAAACCCTAAACCCTAAACCCTAAACCCTAAACCCTGCATCCTCAGCCTTTTGCGCACGGAGGCTTGGCTGCAGTGCGCCGTGGGGCTGAAGCGCTGACGGCCCCCGAGGCCGGCAAGGGGCAAGTTGAGGCATGGGATGGGGGTTTAGGGTTTAGGGTTTAGGGTTTAGGGTTTAGGGTTTAGGGTTTAGGCTTCGGTTGGTTTCAAGACTTGCGAGTAGAGATCTTGGGGCTTAGGGCTCTAGGACTTCAAATTTTTGCTCTAGATGTAATCGCTTTAGGGCGGTAGGGTCTAGGGTTGCGGGGTTGTAGCGGTCTTTACAAGGCGTTCGTAACAGGGCTGTCTTGAAGCACAGGGCTTTGAAGCACAGGGCTTGAACAATTAGGGTTCATGAGGAGTTCTGGCAATAGGTGTCGGATTTTCAAGTTCTAGGGTTCAGGGTCCAAGGGTTTGGAAAGTTTAGGGTTTCCGGGGGACTGCTGAAGTAACACTTTACGCATTCAAGGGTTCGAGGGAAAACCCCTAACCCAGAGCCCTAGACCGAGTTTAGGTATCCTGCACTCTTCTGATATAGAATCTATAGAATATAGAATGGCTGGCAATGTAACGAAGTCAGAGTTCATTCCGACTGTTTTCAGTCAAATTACCGCGAAGCGCCAGCCTCCTCAAGGATTGGCCCAACTTGGGCTGCAGTCGCCTGCTGGCTTGGAGCGATCTCCACGTGGACCCCCCTTCCATCCGGGCTCGTGTGTTCATCCCTGTTTGGAGTTTGGGGAATCAAGGGGTACCCCTATTTCGCGAAATGCTCATGTGTTCCTCCCTCCCTTGAAGCTTCAAGTAGGTTCAGGGTCGCGGTGCGGGGCAGAATTCTGAGGCTTGGGCAGGTGGGTGTGGTTGAGGCACGGCCTTGCGTGCGAGCTCGCGCGCGCGATGTAGGGGCTCAGAGATTTCGGTGCAGTTTCTTCCGCGGATGAGTATGTGTAGAGGGGTCACGAGACTGAAGTCTCCTTATCCTTGTACCGGCTCCTGCGAGGATATGGGTGAGAACCAGAGGCGCCTTGCTCGCAAGGAGCGCATGGAAGAGCTGCTGATTGAGGGGGGAGTTCGGGGTTCTGCGCAGGTTCGGGTCCTCAGGAAGCATAGGGCCGCCCAAGAAACCACTCGCCAAGGCCACTTGGCCGAGTGTTAAGGCAACAAGGAGCTCCCGAGTACCTACTTTTTAACTACATACAAGGTCTTAGCTCTCTCAATGATGATTCTTCTCGTTCGAAAGGCCTTGAAGAGCAGGGGCGTGAGAGGGGGGCTAACCGCCCACATGCACACATGGAGTGCGAACTCCCAGCACTGAGGTTGAGGCTTTAGGGCTTGGGGTATCAGGCTTCAGGGCACCGAGGCCGCACGAAGATCCCTCTAAACCCTAAACCCTAAACCCTAAACTTAGGGTTTAGGGTTTAGGGTTCAGGGTTTAGGGTTCAGGGTTAGGTCTCGATGTATTCGGCTTCGGCCCGTCAATAGTTCGTGACGCCTGGCTCCTAGATGGCAAAACGAAGCACTCCCTCGGCCAGAAAGTCCCTGATTCAAGCATGGATTTTCGGCTAAGTTCGCTCCAATCCGAAACCCTTGAAAGGGCTCATGGATGGTTGGCATATTATGTGGCGTTTGCAACCCAGATATCTTCAGCATTCTGAAACACTTTATTCCCATAAACCCGAAACCCTAAGCCTAAACCCTAAACCCTAAATTTGAACCATTCTTAAGCCCTTTGTTCCCATAGCCCTCAAATCCCCCAAAAAGAGTTCTCAGGTTCTTGGAAGGAGTGGGGGGAGATGAAACCCTAAACCCTAAACCTAAACCCTAAACCCTAAACCCTAAACCCTAAACCCCTCCGAAGAGTTCTCAGGTTCTTGGAAGGAGTGGGGGGAGATGGCGAGGCGGCGGTCATCTTGTGCGGGGACCTCTGCACGAATCTCGAGTTGCTGACGCTTCGCCCTGGCAGTCAGAGGCGTTTAGGGTTTAGGGTTTAGGGTTTAGGGTTTAAGGTTTCGGGCCTAAGTGATCCTTGTTCTACCCCCCCCCCCCCCAAAAAAAAAAAACAAAATGGAATCTCGCCTTAAAGAGGAGACAAAAAAGCCGAAAGCACAGTGGAATCTTCCGAAGAAGGATCCCAAACAGGCTCGAGTGCACATGCCGGAAAACCCTAAACCCTGAACCCTATATAAACCCTAAACCCTAAACCCTAAACCCTAAACCAGAAGTGTTTGTATCACTTTGGGTTCCCCCTGATGCGGCTCAGCGGTGGAGGGGGTTAGATTTTTGGGTAAGCGCTGAAAAGCCCCCCAAAAAAGCACCATAAAGCCCCAACCCGGTGAGCCTTGTAAAGCCTGGAAGAAGCCCTAAACCCCCTCAAAAGCCTCTAAACTCCGTGCATACACCGCCAAAGGCCCCCTAGACGCACCTCCAGTCATACCTTGCCAAATCCCGCAAAACCCCCAAAACCGAAGACCCCAAAACCCTCTCCAAAATCCCAAAACCCGAAGACCCCAAAACCAGCGAGACCCCCAAAAACCCTAAGACCCCCAAGCCCCCAAAACCCTAAACACCCAAAGCTCAAAAAAGCCCCTGAAGCGGGCGTTTGCGAAAATAGGGGGCCCCCGAAAATGGACCCCCCCAAATAGTCAGATTCCCTCATAGCAAGGACCCCAAGAAGGGAGCTGCGGTTTAGGGTTTAGGGTTTAGGTTTAGGCGGTTTAGGGTTTAGGGTTTCGGGTCGCCCCAATCTCGCAAACCACTGAGTATAAGGAGATCCACCCTGGAGCTCTGTGTTTCGCGCTTCCGCGCGGTCTTCTATGTCCCCGGCAACCACGAGCTGTGGGTCTATCAGCTGGCACGTAACATGAGGGTTCAAGGTTTAGGGTTCAGGGTTCAGGGTGTAGGGTTTAGGGTTCAGCGTTTAGAGCTTGCGGTTCTTGAAGTAAGCTTAAGGTTTAGGTTTTTGATTTAAGCTTCATTTAGGGCCGAAACCCAAAACCCTAGCCCCGAAACCCTACAACCCTTAGCCCTAAACCTTATTCACCGGTTTCCCCAAAGGAGGGGTTTACCTTTTTGTCGGATTCAGGGTGTTTTCCCCTGTATGTATGGACTCGTACCTTAAGAGCCTTTAAAACCCTACAGCTACCATACACCTTCAGGGTTTAGGGTTTAGGGTTCTCATGGGCCCTATAAACCCTATAAACCCCATACACCCCAAATGCCCTACACGCCTCATATGCGTAGTTCTCTAAACTAGGGTCCCTCTTTAGATCTCCTATATAGTACGGCACCCTTCAAAAAGGACCCCAAGAAGACCCTAATTTGGAGAGCTACCCACCTACACCCACCCTAAACCCTAAACCCTAAGCCCTACAGACCCCAAACCTAAGCCCTAAACCCGAAGCCCTATACACCCTCAAATTCCTTCAACTTCCTGCAGGTGGCTCGCGATGCCCGCGACCCCTCGCAGCAGGCCACATCCTTCACCAAGTTCCTGGACATTCTTCGTCTGTGCGCAGAGCATCCCGGGTGCAAGTTCATGATGTTTTTTTGGGATTAGGGTTTAGGGTTTGATGTTTAGGGTTTAGGGTTTGGGGTTTGGGGTTTGGGGTTTGGGGGGGAGGGTTTAGGATGGTTTCGGGCTTAGGGTGTGTAGGATCGGCTTCAACTCCAGACCTAAACTTCTTGACGTGTCGCCTCGTGACCTGGCGTGTTCGCTCGTGGCCTTGTGGCATACAGGGTGAGGTTCGAAATTGCGTAAATCCTGGAGCTTGAGAAGCCTCAGCTAACTGACTCTTTCCGTACTCTAGACCCCAGGCTTACACCGATGAGCTCTGCAAACCCCAAAGAGCAACACTCACAAGCCTTCTGTGCGCCTTATCAGCCTCATAAGGGCCGCAAGACTCAGAAAGCCTTAACCTGAACCTAACGGTACGTAGCCCGGCATTCAAACCCGGGGTGTAGCCGCCCTCGGTGTCAAAATCCAGTCAAACTCCATACTGTGAGGTTTGCCTGCTCCCTTCCCTCCCCCCTCCGGCCTGTCAATGTACATGTTTGTTTTGGGGTGGAGGCGCTTTAGAGAGCTATCACTTTATGGGCTGTACACTAGACTAGCTAGTTCCTAAGCAGCTAGGGTATCCAAGCCGAGATGCGAAGAGGTGTGGGGTCCACACCAAGCCTGCTTTCATCGCGCCGGGGGTGGCGGTGTGCCCGCTCTTCTCTTGGTATCAAGGCCTGCGGTTGGGATTCGATTTTTTTTGGGCTTTCGGTACCAAGCTGGTTTCTGGCTGGGCTAGAATCGAGACTTCTGTCAACGTCTATTCCTTGTTGTTTAGGCGGGGCCTACCTACAGAAGCCCTCTACTTCAAAACATCGTTGTATCTCCACTACTGCCCAAATGCCCCTTAGCTAAGCTTAAATGCGCTCAAGGAAGCAGCCTGAGCTTGGAGGGAATGTGTGTGTGTGTGTGTGTGATTGCTTTAGAAACGGGACACAGGTTACTTCAGCTGGGAGGCTCAAACCCCTAAACCCTAAACCCTAAACCCTAAACCCTAAACCCTAAACCCTAAACCCTAAAACTGTTCTTTGGATGCTTTGAGTGCTGGGCAGGTGACTTCTCAGGCGTGATGGTTCCGCATGGAGGCAGGAGTTTGCCCTAGTGCCTAAGCCCTAAAGCCCTGAAGCGTTTAGGGTTTAGGGTCTAGTGTGTAGGGTTTTTAGGGTGGCCTCAAACCCCAGGTTAGAGTCTTTAGCCCCAGACGCTTTGAAAGTAGGGTTAGCCTATATCACAGCCGGGACTTTAGGATTTTGTGTTGAGGGTTAGAACCCTAAACCATACGCCCTAGTTAAACCCTAAGCCTTAGCCCTGAACCCTAAACCCCAAACCCTAAACCCTTAAACCCCAAACCCTAAACCCTTTGTGTCCTCCGTGTCGTCGGGTTGGGGTTTCATTGCTTTCGCATAGCGGTTTGTGGGTTTGGGCCACCCCCCCCACCCCCCCCCTCCCCCGCCCCCCACGCAAACGCCGACCCAAACATTGTGGGGAGAAGCCCATTTTGGCAAGTTCTTCAAATCATGGAACCCTTCTTGGGCGCCTACTTTAGGGAACCCTCCCACCCCCCCGGCCCAAAAACCCAAAGCCCTGAACTACCTCTTGCTTGTCGCCTTGAACTGAATCCAGGCTTTGATTCGGCAACGTTTTGGCCGGAGCTCGCGGACGACCCGCACAATCCGCAAGACCGCCTAGGGCTGTGGGGTCTTACGGGAATAACACCCCCGTATACAGGGGGGTGTTATTGGTCTTCCGGGGTTCTTGGTTCATTTGGCCTTGGCTTGAGGGTTGCTTCGGGATGTGCAGGGGGCTTCTGTGCACCGGGATGTGCACCAGGATGTGCACCAGGATGTCTTGGCCCATGAGTATGCCCATCACCTGGTTCCCGTAAACGCGACCCGAGTGAAGCAGCGGAGGAGATTGACATCAAGCCCTAGTGGACGAGAGTCACATCGAGCAGGGCCCCTTGCGGCGAGGGGAGAGCCTCGGCGGCGCCAGGAGCCCCCGAAGATCGTCTGAAGCAGCGGCTGTGGGGCAACTCGATTCTGGAAGAACATGCCTTTGCCCGCGTGGTGTGGCCGCGAAATCCCGGTGAAGTCTCCTTCAACAACCGGTTCCCTACTATTTGCTTAAGAACCCTTAAAGATAGAAGATAATCATTCCTACATTACCCTTCTATGGATATCTTATTAGTTGTTGGGGGGCTTCTTCAGCAAATCGCAGCAACCCTAAACCCCCAAAATAACCCTAAACCAACTAGCCCAAACCCTGTAACGCCAGAACCCTAAACCCTAGGAGCTATTTTAGGGTTAATACAGTAGTAACATGATAGTAATATAATAGTACTATGATATGAATAAGAAAAAGAAAGATAAAAGTTAAAAAGAAATCATGACATAATGAGAATAGTAATAATAATAAGAGTAGTCGTAGAACAATATCATCGTCGTAGAATAACCTTGTTTTCAGAATCTTGACATTTTGGGGAGACATGCTTCGTCGAGGACCCGCAAATTGCAACCTTCTTCCGCGGTTTGAACGATGCCTCTCGGACGCAAATCATCTGATTATGCCCAAGCTCCATCGTCCGGATAGGCCCCAAACCTAAACCCTAAACCCCAAAATCCCCCCGCCCTTGAACTTTGCACTCCTTTGCGGACAGGCATCACTATGCGAGTCGAGCTATAGCAGGCCTCACCTAGAAGCCAGGTGTGTGTTGGCACCTCGGAAACTTTCAGTGAATTACAGGAAGGGTCAGGAGTCTGAGAACTCAGAAGACCACCATCAGCCGTTGAGGGACCCTGCTATGGAAAAGTACCAAGCTTGCAGTGCATCCAAGCTGTCTAGGAAGCCCAGTGATACAGGTTTCGGGCGCTTGTAAGAATTCCCGTTTATAAAACGAACCAACAGAAAACGAGCACCTGTTTGCAATCTAGTGAAAAGAAAACATGTCTAACAGAACACTGAGGCGGCGGCAACATCATTCTCATTTGCCACCATGCATGTCTCATCATTGTTCCAGGAAGCAAAGTATGGGCCCTTAGTTTGGGTCCCTGGTTATATAACCCGTATACGCACCGTACATAATAAGGGCCCATACTTCGGATCCTTGTGTATTAAACAAGAGTAAGGGATCATACTAAGGTCCCATGGTTCCCACCTCAGATTTGCGCACTGCGCACCACATCCACGCCGAAGACAACCTTTCAGATTTAGTGCTCCATCAACCGTGAACCCTAAACCCTAAACCCTAAACCCTAAACCCTAAACCCTAAACCCTAAACCCTAAACCCTAAACCCTAAACCCTAAACCCTAAACCCTAAACCCTAAACCCTAAACCCGAAACCCTAAACCCTAAACCCTAAACCCTAAACGCCCCCTACAAGGCCCGTGTGGCACAAGCGGCAAACTTGCGCAAGAAAGGAGCCGCATGAGATGCAACCTTTGGGGTCTGGTTTTCAGGGCTTCATTCCACCGGGCTTAGGGTTTAGGGTTTAGGGTTTCGGGTTTAGGGTTTAGGGTTTAGGGGTAAAGAAACCCCCCCACATAGTATCACGGGGCCAGACCTGTGATGTGCTCCTTCGGCACAGCTTATCTCATGGTTTACTGGGATCCTCTCAAGCAGACGGGGTTTAGGGTTTCGGGTTTAGGGTTTAGGGTAGCGAAACCCTGCACTCCTGCAGGAGAGCTTACAAGTCTCTGGACGTTCTCGCACTTCCTGCCGCGAAAGGAGCACCTGAACTTAACCCGGGATTTCCGGGCGACACATGTTTAGCCCTAGACAAGAATCACCATTGCACGTTCAAGGTGTGCAGCAATGAGGTCGGTTCGCTTTTCTTGGGGTATATACTCAGATGAGGGGCCGCATGAGAACAGGGACCTCAAAAATGGACCATACTTTGAGGCCTGGCGAAAGATCTCCTGTAGGCCCTAATTGAGTCCTGGGGAGGTCGTGGAGTATAGGGTTGTGCCTACAAGGTTGATTCGTGCCGCGTGCCTAAAACAGGTACTTTTCCTTTTGGGGGTCGGGTTTAGGGTTTAGGGCTTAGGGTTTAGGGTTTAGGGTTTAGGGTTTAGGGTTTAGGGTTCAGGGGTCCTTCATTAATTAATAAAGGATTACGGGGCCCCTATTTTGGGAAACATATCCACGCACATGGGGTTTAGGGTATAGGTTCCATTGAATCTCCAACCCTCGAGCCCAGAGCTGGTTTTCTTGGGTGCTTCGCCGAGGCTCAACATGTCTGGTGAGCACGCGGTGATGCCGCCAGGCCGAGTTAGAAGCTTTAAGTAGGGTTTTGGGGGTCTCGTAGGGCTTTAAGGGTTTATGTCGCAACGCGCACGCGGGCCTTAGAGGTCGGCAGGCGGACGAGAGTTGAGGGTCCCAAGTTGACGAGTTCAAGTTCCCAAGGGCTTGAGGGCATATTGGTTGGAGGACTCCGACAGTTCAGGGTAACCTGAAACCCTAAACCCTAAACCCTAAACCCTAAATCCTAAACCCTAAACCCTAAACCTTAAACCCTGAAGCCGAACGCGCCGAGTCCGTTTAGGGTTCAGGGGGTCATTGCAGTATAAGTATATAGGGATCAGAAGGGAATACTACTAGAAATTATTCCGACCCCGAAATTAGGTTTTTGGTAGGTCTACAGACGCAGACAGTTAGGTAGACACACAGGAGGAAGTACAGAGCACCATAAAACAAAGGACTGTGCCAGAATGTTTGGCGAAAGTTCCACCAGCTTGTCTTGAAAGCAAGGTTGCTCTAGCCGCTAGCCCCTTGGTACGCCTGATTACTATGAGCCTTAGAAGACCTATGAGCCCTCAAGCCCTTTATTCTTCAAGCCCCCAGCCCATGAGCAATCCCCCCAATCCTCTATCCCTCCCCTTCATTCTTTTGCTAGCCAACAGTAACTCAAATCCTAAGCCCTCAATCCTACCAGCACATGCCCCCCCCCCCCCCCCCAAACCCTGGGAGAGAAGCTCTGCCCTCACGCACGGAAGGGGTCGCTGGGGACCCCGCCCTGGACCTGCAGCTGCGCGCCGCCGGGGCTGTAGGCAAGGCGTGTGTTGTGAAGTGCGGGGCGTTCGCGCGGTCCCGAAACCCGAACTCCGCCCCTTCGTGCCTCGGTCTCCTAGGTTCAGGGTTTGGGTTCCAGGGTGGGCTATTGCTTGTGTGAGGTGCGCCTAGCTCGGGTTTCGGGGCCTGAGCATCCAAGGTTGATTCCCAGCTCAGTCGCCTGGCCCCTCTTACCAACTTTGGGCATTTCTTGATGTACAGTCTGCAGGATTTCTTTTTCAGGCGATCGGCCATTAGCTTGGGGGTCGTTGAACCCTCCTGAACACCGAAGGCCCAGGGGGACTCAGGGATCTGCCTAGCCCCGCAATTGTCCCCACGTTGATGCTGAATTGTTCTCCAAATCCAGTATGACCTTGGGTGAATGTTAGGGCCTCATGTGGGGGTGTACACCCAAACAGTGGGGTTCCCTTTATGAGAAGCTCCCCGAGAAGGTGCCCCCGAATTGCGGAAGCCCCCTTGTTGGGTTTTAGGGTTTAGGGGTTTAGGGGTTTAGGGTTTAGGGTTTAGGGTTTAGGGGTTTAGGGTTTAGGGGTTTAGGGAGAGTGTAGATGCAAGGGCTTTCAGGGTCCGTGAAGGTCATGTCTACGGTCACTCGCACATCGGCCAGGAGACGAGCTGGGCTCAGGGCTTTCAGCTTCGGAGCGCGTTTCAGGGCCCTAAACCCTAAACCCTAAACCCTAAACCCTAAACCCCAAACCCTAAACCCTAAACCCTAAACCCTACACCCTAGACCCTAAACCCTAAACCCTCGAAGGGTTTCGGGATGCGGGGGGGGGGGGGGGGGGGGGGGGGGGTCAAAGAGTTGGGTGCTCCTCCCTGGCTTGGCCCTAAACCCTAAACTGTAGACCCTCGAGCATGAGGACCGCGTGTATGAAGGCGTGCGGTATGTCCAGCAGCCGCTGGGCTATCCGACCGATGGACACCGCGAGGCACCCCAGTCTCGTCGCACCTGTAAGCTTCACGTTTGCGGGCTTCGGGTTCGGGTTGAGGCTTCAGGGTTTCGAGCGGTCGGTCAGGGTTATGAGGGCTTTGTGAGGCTTGAGGATTTAGGGTTGAGGGTTTTTGGTGGATCTTCCCGAGACGTTTGCGGCGGTCGTGGCGCCAGCCCCACCGCACGTCGCGAAGAGAACGCACAGTGGAGGAACTGACGTGAGGGTAGCCGAAAATAGGGGTGCCTTATTGGGGTCCTGATCACGGGGATCCTACTATTTGGGGATCTATATTGGGGGTCCCCTATTATCGCAAACCCCCACATGGCGCAACAATAAACCCTAAACCCTAAACCCTAAACCCTAAACCCTAAACCCTAAACCCTAAACCCTAAACCCTAAACCCTAAACCCTAAACCCTAAACCCTAAACCCAAAACCCAAAACCCTAAAACCTAAACCCTAAACCCTAAACCCTAAACCGTAAACCCTCCGTGCACTTTCCCGCCAGGAGAGGCCGCTGCAGCTCTTCGATGCAGCCCAGGTCGCGCTGGGGCCCGCAGCCGCGCCTAGCACCGGCGTGGACAGGTCCTTGGGGGGTTTAGGGTTTAGGGTTTCTTGGAGGGTCATGGTACTTATTTAACTAGTTACGTACTTACAGCTGTACTTAAGACCATATTAGGGCACTTAAGGGGCTTACAAGTGCGTACAGTTATATTTGGGTAATAAGTACCATGAACCTCCAAGTTGGGTAGTTCTCTAAATCAGGGGGACCTTCTTGGGGTCCTTGCTCTAAGGGGTTTATCTTAGGGGGGGTTGCCTTAATTTCCCTAAACCCCCCATGCGGGTAATTCTCTGAAAGAATGGGGGTCCCTTTTTCGGGTCCTGCACGGCACCCTTAAAGGAAGCACCCCAAGAGGGACCTTAATTTGGAGAGTGCCGAGCTGACTTAGTTGAAGAAGCAAAAGACCCCCCTGCCCAAGTACGCCTGCAAATTCCCAAACCTAGAAACTGTCCCTAAACCTTAAACCCTAAACCCTAAACCCTAAACCCTAAACCCTAAACCCTAAACCCTAAACCCTAAACCCTAAACCCCATAGCCAGGGCCCAGCTCTCCGCCGAGCGGGTTCGTGGCGCGCTCTTCGGGGCGCTCTGCGGCGATGCGCTTTCCGGACTGAACAGGGATTGGGGTTTAGGGTTTAGGGTTTAGGGTTTAGGGTTTAGGGTTTAGGGTTTAGGGTTTAGGGTTTGTCTAGGCGGTTTGGGGCTTTGATGCAGGTTGTCGGGTCTTGATGGTTGAGAGGGCTTATGAGGAGGGTAGCAAAGGTGATTGGGTTTTCCCGCCCAACGTCACAAATCGCACCCTCTCGCCTAGGTCCTGGGTACAGGGTTTAGGTTTAGGGTTTAGGGTCCCACAGTTTTTGAGTCTTTTGAAGCAAAAAAGTCAAAAGTTGCAGAAAGACACATTCCTGCTGCTCGGTCTCTTGGACGGGGGTTCGCTTCGTGCGTCCGTTCTGAAGGGGATGCAGTTTTTAACTGTTGCGGCTTCAGGCCCGGGATCGCGTAAATCCTAAACCCTAAACCCAAAATCCAAAATCGCCCTAAACCCTAAACCCTCAACCCTGCACCCTAAACCCTAAACCCTAAACCCTAAATCCTAAACCCTAAACCCTAAACCTTATAAACCCTAAACCCTAAACCCTGAACCCTGAACCCTGAACCCTAAACCCACCCCCCCCCCCCCCCCGCCCGCCTAAACCCTAAACCCTGACTTGGCTGCATGAAGTCCTCTTGGACTTGTGTTTTTTTGCTTTGGTCTTGGAGTGCTCTAGGGTCAAGGTGGTCTCGCGCCCGTAGAGTGTTTTGCCGAGATTCCCCTGCCCCAAAAGACAGTGGAGGACTTAGCGGGTTATTCAAGGGAAAGAGCTTTGGGTTTTTTGGTTTCGGGTTTACGAGGGTTTGGGGTGACTTAGGTCTGCGCCGCACTTTGCAGAGGACTCCTGGTTTACGGGTGTTTAGGCATTAAAAGTCAGAAGGTTGTGATCCTCAGCATTCGTGCGGTGTGTGTGTGTGTGTGTGTCACTCACGATGGTTCGGCAAAGGTTGGCGATGCCCGTGTGCTGGTACTACGGGGGGCAGAGGCAGATCAAGCGGGTTCCCCGGTCGAATCCAAGCAATCCGCTTAGGGTTCGGCAAGCCCCATCAGCACAAAGAGCTCCAGGCCTCTGGCCTGTAAACCTGCACATCCTGGGCAGTAGGGTCATATCTGACGTACAAGGCTAGACTCTGAAAATCCCAGCCCCTAGGTCTCAGGAGCGCCCTACCAGCCCCTTGCCGAGCCCTAAATCACTCAGCAGTTATTACTGCGCATAGTAAGAGGTGTTCAGCTACTGTCAGCGTTCCTGCTTGAACCGCCTGTGAAGACAGGGGTTTTGGGGGTTTACGATTTAGGAGTTCAGGTTTTCACTTAACCGTAGAGGAAATCCCCCAAATCAAACCTCCATCCATGACGAGGCCTCCCCCCCCATTCTCAAGCCTCGGCCTGGGCGTCCCATTCACTGAGGGGACTGAGTACGGTCCAGGCTGTAAGCTCAGGATCTAGAGGAGCTTGCGAAGGGCCTTAAGGGGTAACCCTAAACCCTAGCCCTGAACCCTAGCCCTAAACCCTAAACCCTCAACCCTTTCCTTAAAGCCAGAGAAGGTCCGAAGTATCGGTCTCAGGAACCCTAAGGCTCAAGTACGTTTAAAGGACGCGCAAGTCGCGAAAGCTTAAGGTGACAGGCTGACAGCAGTTCAGCATTGGGGCTTAGGGTTTAGGGTTTAGGGTTTAGGGCTGTTTAGGGTTTAGGGTTTAGGGCTTAGGTTTTCAGATCTTTGGGTGAGGGTTTAGGGGGTTTAGGTTCGCAAGAAAGCCTCGAAAAACCCGAAGGGGGTCATCAAAGGACTATGGCGGCCCGCTGACAGGGTATGTCAAGCCCAAGGAGCAGCTGATCGGGAGCTTCATGATGAACGAGGCGACAATTCTCAAAAGTTTAGGGTTTAGGGCTTAGGGCTTGAACCTGAATGTCCCGAACCCCAAGCTGTGTCCTGAACTGCCAGCCGTTAAGGTTTTAGGGTTCAGGGCTCAGGGTTTAGGGTTTCGGTTGAACCTTCAACTCACCTGTCACAGCAGCAGAGGCCTTGCCAAAAGCGATCGATCATGGTCGCTCGCGTAGCTCTCCTGCAGGCGGAGGGCCGTCACACCTCTGAACCCAAGCCCATCTGGGAACTTCCCCGATCTTTAAGGGATCGTAGATTGCAGCACTGACCACTTGAATCCTATAGGACATGTAAAAATCAAGAACACAATTCCAACTGGAGGATGTCTCGCTGTCTTTCTGGAGTTTAGTTTTCGGCCCTGGCCACACCCTAAACCTCAAGCCCCAGGCGAAACCCTGAGCCGAGGCTATTACCGGCCCGTCAATGAGCAATCACCTTCTATCGGCTGCCTGGTGTGGCACGTGGAGCTGAGACTTGAAGGTTCAGGGTTTAGGGTTTAGGGTTTAGGGATGATATGGAACCCGACACAGGGAACCCGAAGAACTTCGTGGGTATATGGGCAGGAACGTAGCTGCCTTGGGCCTGACGCCCCTACTCTCTGCCTTGGGGTCCTTGTTAGGGGTTTCCCGCAACATGCTCCTCTTTGCGAAATAGATGCGCTGCAGTCACCTTTCGTGCAGAGGTCCGGTTGAGGTGCTTCTCAAGCCCCGCAGCCCCAAACCCTAGATACTCCTTATACCCCAAAGCCCAAAGCCCAAAGCCCCTGAAGCCCTAAACCGCATGTAACCCCAAAATCATGGACTACACCTCGCCTTGACCCACTATGACCCTAAACCCTAAGCCCTAAACCCTAAACCCTTGACCCACTATGAATCTCAGGCTACCACTACCACCGTGGCTTGCCAGCTGGGGGCCTTACTCTCGAAGGACGGGGGGTTAGTTTCGACATGTGGGTTGAGCTAGGCTATCATCCCTACTCCTTATAAACCCTAAACCCTAAACCCTAAACCCTAAACCCCAAACCCCAGACCCTAAACCCTAAACCCTAAACCCTAAACCCTAAACCCTAAACCCTAAACCCTAAACCCTGAACCCATAGTGGGCCTTTTTGGGGGTACCCTCGCTTAGGAGGAGTGTGCTGCAATCTAAACCCTTAAAAGGGTTCGGAGTTTAGATCATGCCTGCCCCTACGTAGCTGTATGCGCTCGGGTCGATGGTTTGGGGTCTTGGCGCTTCCCCCGCAAAATCCGAGAACGCTCTCCCAGAATCAGCATCCAACGACTACAGGTATTTGGAGCCCAAGTAGTGAGGGGTTTTGGGCTTAGGGCAACCTAAACCCTAAACCCTAAACCCTAAACCCTAAACCCTAAACCCTAAACCCTAAACCCTAAACCCTAAACCCTAAACCCTAAACCCTAAACCCTAAACCCTAAACCCTAAACCCTAAACCCTAAACCCTAAACCCTAATCCCTAAACTTAAGGGGTCATGTGGGCTTTCGGGCCCAGGACTATGGATGCATATGAGGGTAGATAGGGTTGAGGCTTTCCAGTCTCTGGGCCGCTTGGCAGATGCAGGCGACCTTTTTTAACATTAAGACGCTTAGGCGCTGGAGTGTGGGACAGAGCTCAGGGAGTAGAGTTTAGGTATGTTTACGTCTTAGGGCCCTGTACGCCCCATGCTCCCTCAACTCCTAACCCACACTGGGTAGGTCAGATGATTCGCCTCCTCATGCGTGCCGTCGCAGAGAACAAGGCCCATCCTATGACACAAAGAGCTCCCAAGCGCCTAAACCCGACCCACACCCTGCTAAAGCCCCCATCAACCTAAACCCGTGCTAATCCTGGGCTTTCGTTTCGGGCTATTGGTACTTCTGTGCAGCTGAGAGACACCCTGACGAGCTGAGGACATGTGGGATGTTCAGGGCAGAGTTTGACCTCGGCAGGAACACACTCTCGTCCCAGCGTTTCTGTGGGGATTCATAATCATCTATCCAACCAGACCTAACCCTAAACCCTAAACCCTAAACCCTACACCCTACACCCTACACCCTACACCCTAAACCCTAAACCCTGAACCCTAAACCCTAAACCCCCCTGAAGCTCCTGGACTTCCCCAAACCGTGCATCTCGCGGACTTGGGAGGGCGCCCTGCCCAGTCCCGATGACCTCCGCGCCAGATACGTGGCCTTCATGAAGGACATGCCCTGAGCGTGACTCTGCAGTCTCCCTGATTCTTAGTAGGGAATGAGGAATTAGGGCCCTGCATATACCCTCTAAGGGCGTGTAGGACCTGATTCCCTCATTCCCCTAAGAGCCAGCCAGTACTTCACAAAAGGGGCAGCGAGACTCATCAACTACTCAGTTACAGTTTCCCTTCCCAGTGCGACCTGCAACCTCCCCCCCCCCCCCCCCAAACCCTAAACCCTAATACCCTAAACCCTGAACCCTAAACCCTAAACCCCCAAAGAAGAAGCTCTGGTGACTTCTGGCTCGCGTTGGGGATGCTGCAGGACGGGAGCCACGGAGACACCTGGGTGTCCAAGCTTCTTGGCCTTGAGGGGCGGGCCTTTTGCAGGTCTAGGGCTTAGGGTTTGGGGTTTAGGGTTTAGGGTTCAGCATCTCAAGTCCGAGCATTCACGAGTCAAGCGGCTTGTCGGAAGAATACCCACTACCCAAAGAATCCCATCACGTTAAGAGCATGAACACTTGTCTCTTTTCTTGTAGGTGCACCAGCTAAGACGCGCCTAAAACCCGCGTCCCAAGGCCTAGGACCCCTAGGGCCCTGAACCCTATGCCCCAAAAGCGAGGGCCCTGACTGTGCCCAAAACCCTGGGACCCTAACTCTGCGCAAACCCTAGGGCCCCGAACCCTATGCCCCAGTCCCTAAACCCGAAGCCCCAAATTGCCCAGCCAGAAATCATAATTGCCCACTAGTAAGGAACCAAGTGCACACTGCAGCAAGAAATTACGAGTGCACCCAGAGAAAAGAAAACACATGCCCACTAAGTTAGGCCCTGGACCTGGAGGGTTTGCGGAAATTTGGGGTCCGTATTGGGGTCCTTATTATAAGGGGCTCCTACTATTTGGGAGTCTATATCAGGGGCCCCTTCTTATCGCAAACCAACATATAGTAAGAGGGGTTTAGGGCTTTAGGCTTTAGGACCCTAAACCCTGAACCCTAAGCCCTAAACCCGAAAACCCTAAACCCTAAACCCTAAACCCTAGACCCTAAACCCTAAACCCTAAACCCACATCTTTAGCCGAGGTACCACCGCGAGTTCTTCGCGCAGCTGGAGAAGGGAACTCCGGCGCCGGAATGTGCTGCGAGAGGTGGGCATGCCACGTCCTAATTTACTACCATTTGCTTAAGGGCCCCCAAAAACGGATGATAGTAGGGTTTAGAGTTTAGGGTTTAGGGTTTAGGGTTTAGGGTTTGGGGCTTGGGGTTTAGGGTTTAGGGTTTATAAGGTTTAGGGTTGAGGGTTTGGGGAAAAACCTTTTGTGTTTTTGTTGGGGGAGGCGGGGTTCTTAAGCAAATACTAGTAAAGCCTGCAGGATTTGGGGTCTTTTTTTCACCCTCGGACGCCCAGTAGTACCCTCCCTTGTTTTTTCGGTATTAGGCGAAAAACCCTCAAGCCTCTGGAACCCTTGACATGGGTTTGCTGGATCAGTTGTTTGCCATTCCTCTTGCAGACTCCGGTTCTGAAGCTGCTAGATTTCAAATGGCTTGTACATAGAACTCGCGGGGGCTAGCCCGCCCGTGCCGCCATGCCATGCCGCAGCCGGGACCGAAGCCGGAGCCCGCGTAGGGCGGCACGAGTGCCCGGGGGCTGCTGCGCCTTCGAGGCGAGTAAGGATGCCCACAGGTGGGCCGCTTATGAGTGCCACCTCTCCAAGGGCACGTTCATCCGTGAAGCGTGTCAGGTTCGCACGCGCGTGATCGCGGGCCACGCGCAGTGCCGCACCTTCGTACTGTGCGAGGAGGGGCACGTCCCCAAGAAGGTGCAAAAAGCCAAGAATAGAGAGGAGCAGGTTTTGGCAGCCTGCACCGTGCGCATGAACCCGTATCGCCGATACTGCAAGATGTGGGGACAAATCATGCACATGAGCGCTCGGGAGGAGCGGAAGGGTTATGGAAGCAAATTGGTTGTTGCTGTGGAGGAGTTGTTACGCCAAGAGGGCGTTGACATTCTCGTCGCCTACCCCGCACCGACAGCAGCAGCTCAAAGCTTTTGGGCAAAAATGGGGTATCAGCAGCAGGAGGACAGCTTCCTCCCAGATGAAGAGCTCATCCCACGGTACGAAGGTGGCCCGCTATGGCCAGAGGAGAACGCAGTCACCGAGGAGCCCCTAGATCGGCTGGAAAAAAAGTTGTTGGTTGGTGGAACCCAGCCGGCACCCCGGGAAGGGGAAATCCGTACAAGACCTGGCGGCGAAGATCGCAAGTTCAGGGAAGTTGTCTGGAATCCCCTCGATCTTCGAACAAGGAAGCCTCCAGAGGTTTTTCTGACTGCTCTGCAGCTACAAGCATTGTTGCAGCCGGTCTCTCGGCGGATGCGCGGAAAACGGCCTCCACTCTGATGGGGACGGCGAGTTGCCCAGCTGGAGCCGTTCGCAGCACCGAGCTGGCGCTGGCTAAATTTAAATAGCCACTATGACACTATGAGCCGCTACAACAGCAAACGCGGCTAAACCTAACTCCCTCGGCAGATGAAGGCTGGGAAAATCCGAGATTCTTCTTCGTTAGTATGGCAGCAGCTTAGCATCCCATCTTGCGGTCATTGGAGTGGCTGTTTTCCGTGCCCATCGATTGTGCAGCTAGTGTTGCTAGTGGAACTCTAGCACGGGCACAATGTTGAATATACTAAAAGCGTGTCCGTGAGGCCGTGAGGAGACACTTGTGAATTACAGGGGTTCTAAAGGGGCGGCAAAGGTAGTACTATTCATAGCCCTTTCAATCAAACCAAAGAGGAGAAAGTTATTCCTCATCCAATAGACGACAGTACCAACAATCTTGTTTGCATTAGAATACATAATTCCAGAGACGCCTAAGTGCCTTCACCCTAGACCCTAAACCCTAGGCCCTACACCCTAAACCCTAAGCGCGAAAACCCTAAGCGCCTTCGAGTCCTCTTCAGGTGATCCAGTGGAAACCATGGAAATGCTGAGCATCCAGGTGGGTGTGGCTTGAACAACTTAGGATTCCGGGCTGTTAGGGTTTAGGGTTTATAGGGTTTAGGGTTTAGGGCCCGATAGCCTCGACCCTAAACCGTGCGTGAAGCCCTTGCGGGGACTACGTTGTCAATAGCTCAACCCTATAAGCCTTGAGCTTCCTTTTCGGCCCTTCCAAGAATCTAACAGCTTTTCCCCTCACGATTCATCGCCGACGTGGTGTCTCAGCTTTTTTCTTTTTCGCCCAAGTTGATGAACAATGTCTCTGACTATTCAAAAAAAAAGTCCGAGGGCTGAGCCCCTCCAACCCCCAAACTCTAAATCCCAAACCCGAAACCCTGAACCCGAAACCCAAAACCGTAAACCGCCTTCTGCAGATGCCCATCTTCCTCGCCTGCCTGGGGGGATCGGAGGAGGAGGCAGCCTGTGGGAATTCAGAATTCCAGAATTTTGGGGTGTAGCCCTAAACGCTAGCCCTACACCCTAAACCTTAAACCCTTAACCCTCTTTCAGTTGCACGGCATTCCCGATAAACCTTTCGTTTCGGTGCCCTAAACTCTAAGCCCTAAACCCTAAACCCTAAACCCTAAACCCTAAACCCTAAACCCTAAACCCTAAACCCTAAACCCTAAACCCTAAACCCTAAACCCTAAATCCTAAACCCTAAACCCTAAACCCTAACTCTAAGCATCCTTCGGATCTTTTCATTAAACAGCTAAGTTTCTTCGTTGATCGCTGTGGACTAAACCGAACCCGCCTTTCTTCGGCACTGGGGGGTGACCTGTGATAGAGCAAGCAGGAGTTCACTGAGATGCCCAACCCTCGTTACAAGCAAAATCCCTCACTTCGAGATCCCTAGTCTCTAACCGACCCTCGGCACTTAGCAGGTAGTTACACCCTAAACCATAGATGTGTTGCACAGTTAGACATTCGAAGTAAGGTTGCTAATTTTGTAACCTTAATGGAGGTACCTAGTACCCTACTTAGTTTTATGCGTGAGGCTTCATGTGACGCCACCCAACACCCCTCAATCCCGAACCCTCCTGTCCCAAACCGCAGATTGGCAACGCCATTTAGGGTTTAGGGTTGGCTGGTGGTTCTTTTTTCGTGTTTTTGTTTTTTTTGTGAGAATAAAACCTTAAACCCCTACACCCCTAAACCCTTAAACCCCTAATCCCCTAAACCCTTAAACCCCTAAACCCCTAAACCCCTAAACCTCTAAACCCCTTAGCCCCTAAAACCCCCTAAACCCTAAACCCCTAAGACCCCTAAACCCCTAAACCCCTAAACCCCTAAACCCCTAAACCCTAAACCCCTAAACCACCTAAACCCCTAAAACCCCTAAACCCCTAACCCCTAAACCCCTAAACCCTAAACCCCCCTTAACCCCTAAAAACCCCTAAACCCCTAAACCCCTAAACCCCTAAACCCCTAAACCCCTAAACCCCTAAACCCCTAAACCCCTAAACCCCTAAACCCCTAAACCCCTAAACCCCTAAACCCCTAAACCCCGAAACCCTAAACCCCTTAACCCCTAACCCCTAACCCCTAAACCCTAAACCCAAAACCATGAAGAATACGCAAAAAACTGAAAAAAAAACGAAAGAAAACCCTGGACCCTTTAGGGTTTAGGGGCTCTACTTCATTGTCGCGCCAACTTCTTGCGCCCGGGAGCCACTTGGAGTCCGGGGCAAAACTTCCGAGTCGAAGAGCAAAATGCCTCCAAGGGCCAAGGTGGGCCAAGGCGACGATCATGTCGCTGGGGCTCAGAAGGAACAGGGGCCGGAGGCAGGCGCTGCGTAGAAGCATCACCTGCCTGACACACTACCAGAACAGCACGATGAAGACCTGAGTGAGGAGGATAGGGGCTCTGACCTCATTTCTAGAGCACACTTTTTCTTTGTGCCATCTTGCTCCCAATCGCATCCTGCGTGGCCTACCCCGCGTGCCGCCATCGGCGCCCCCCAGCTGTTTTTCGGAACACCGGACAAGCCCAAGCAAGTTGCCTGCTGAAGTGATGCGCCGTAAGAAGATTCGGGAGTTGGAGGTTGCCCCCGCTAGGGTCCCACAAACAGCTGACAGGCAGAAGCCTCTGATTTCCATGCGCGGTTCTGCCGGGCAGAGAGCGGCCTTACGACCCCAGATCTTCTTCAGAGGATGGTCCCACGCTTCTTTGTGGTTTACAGCCCCATTTGCCCTCAGCATCTGGCGCGGAAAATACCACCAAGCAGGTAAGGGCCAACGGTGGGGAGACAGCATTTTGGAGGGCCCGGCTGTTCATCGACTTGATTGCGCCGCGCGGCCAGCTTGTCTTTCGGCCTTACGACATTGTCGTTCGGCCTAACGACATTGTCGGTCGGCCTGACGACATATCATCCGCTCCTTCAACGTTTCACGCCGTGGAGGAGGCGGGCGTCGTCCAACTGAGCGAGCGCAGGGGCTGGATTCCCCGCCGATGCGGCTTTACAAAGCGCGAAGTTTTTTGGCAGTGCTCTGATCCACAAGCGAACAGTTTCTCTCAGTTGCCATGACAAGTGGGCAACTTGAGCTTACTTTCCTGTCGGCCTCCTGATGGGTGCTACTTTGAGACTTCTTCGCTTGCCACGACCCAGATGCGAGGGCCTCATTGGAAGAGTCGAAGCATCACGTGGTGGAAATGTAAAGACGTGCGGTTGCTGACCAGGAACGTGCGTGCCGTCGACACTTGTCCGCGCTAAACATCAATACGCCGTAATGCTGCCTCACAGCTGTAAGGTAGGGTTACTGTCAGCCGCGCTCAGTTTGCGCAAAGTATACCGGCTATATTGTCTTGCGGGAAACAACTTGGCCGCGGGTTTGCAAGTGCCCCGTGTGAGATGGTTCACGGTTTACCTGCCTCCGCTCATAGACGGTGCCGACACAATACTTGCCGTGTCGACACCAAGGTTTGGAGCAGCCACGGGATCACCGATAACATCGAGCAAACATTCGTCCATCGAGACGGAATGGTTTCCCACCTCAGACTGCTGAACACGCGGATCGGGGTTGGGCTCAAGCACGTTTTCGGGCCAACAAGCTCAAGAAGGCCAAGCACGTTGGCAAGCAGTACTGTGTAGATGCATTCGCGGACCTCGTCGAGTGAACACTGCAACAGTGACAGTGGGCTGATGTGGGGCAAGCCTAAGTTGAAGTTGGGCAAAAAGCCCCTCAAACAAGTTGCCCTCAGAGATGGGTCAGGGTCTAAAGGCCCCATGGGGATAATTAGGGTCCCTTCTCGTGTCCCATATATAGCACGGCGCCTTGAGAATCAGGGCCCCGAAAAGGGACCCTAATGTTTTGCTGCACTGTGTGTCTGAGGCCGCGACCTGTCGACAAGTAACAATGATGTAGCAGCTAACAGGGTTGCCCTATTTTTCTTCCTAGGTAGCTGGGGCAGCCAGACCTTAGGCCCTAAGCCCTTCGATGCCCTAAACCCTAAACCCTAAACCCTAAAACCCTAAACCCCTAAAACCGTCAAGCCCTGAAACTCCAAGCCCTAAACCCTAAACCCTAAACCCAAAACCCAAAACCCTAAACCCCGAAAGAGCAGGACTGCCAGCGCATCCTGGCTTCGATCGCCTCTCTCCGAAACCCAGGTAATGTCGCGCAGACAGCCGTGAGACTTCTTAGAGGCCCCATTTTGGTTTGGGTTTAGGGCTTAGGACTTAGGCTTTGAGGTTGAGGGCTTAGGGTTTATGGTTTAGTGTTTAGGGTCGGTGAGGTTTGGAGCGTAGGGTTTAGGGTTACATTTTCCATCTGCGGGAGGGCTGTTATCAACAGTTTGTCGGATTTGGTCTTGAGGAGGAGGAGGAACTCAGCAGGCCTGTGAGGCTTTATCTAAGGACTGTTCTTTTGCTATCAAAGCCCGACCTCCAACACTAAACCCTAAACCGGGCAGCCATGAGAACTCAACGTTTTGATCTACCCTAAACCCCAGTAAGTTCCCTGAGCACTGAAATAGCATCATGTTATCTTCTCGAGCCAGCATGCAAGGACAGAGGAGGCTTCATCGGTTTCACCCACACTTACTACAAGAAACACACCGCGATGGCTGGCATTTTCTCCCCAGCGATCCGAAACCAGTAGACCCTGCGGACTTGTGGTAGTCTTTGCTTCCCAGTTTCCTTCTTCATGGTTCTGGCTACAAAGCAAAGCGCTCTGGTGAAGCACGTAACTTAGACGTACAGCTCCGTAGGTCCACGGGGACCTACGCAACTTGGGGTGGGCCGGACTCGAGCCCATTCAAGACATCCAGGATGCATCCCAGTAACCCTCCACAGTTACTAGGTAGCCCCTTTGGGATATCTTCTATTTTCCCTTATTGGGTTTAGTAGGATCATCTTTAGAATATTTCGTTCAGAGGGTTTAGGGGGCCATCCTAGGTTACTATATCTTGCACAGTGTGTGTTGGCCCAGTCACAACGTCACATACCGCAATGCTGTGAACTTTGCACCGGTTCGACCGGTTTCGCCACAACTCAAGGTTTTTTTTTTGTGTTCGGGCGGGGGTCCCTAGCCAAGGCAAGAAACGGATTGAAGAGCACGGGTTCCGTCTTTTCCCTAGGCTATTGAAAAGGCTTCGAGAATGATCCTGAAAACTGTCAAGACTCATCAGCGTTGAAGAAGTGCGTGGGCGATGGAAAGCCCATCGCAATCCCAGCCCCACCCTAAACCTTAAACTGTAAACCCTAAATCCCTAAGCCCTAGCCCCTAAGCCCAAAACCCCAAACGCGTGCTCAGCCAGGCGCCTTCTGCCAAATCTTTAACGGCCAGACTCTCGAAGAGGCGCCTTGCGCCAGGGACTGCTGAGCACTGTTTCGGGTTTTAGGGCTTAGATGGTGTTAGTAACCCAAGACCCTAAACCCTAAACCCTAAACCCTAAACCCTAAACCCTAAACCCTAAACCCTAAACCCTAAACCCTAAACCCTAAATCCGAAGAAGCAAGGGCTCCATGCCATCCCTGCCTCATAGGCATCTGATTGAAAAACCTAGTAAACCCCTATGAACACGGTCAGCCCCCAACAAGAATGCTACATGTTTGTGTTTCTGTTAGAATACGCCCGCGGTCCCCCAAAAAGGGACCACATGATAGAGAGCTGAGCACGTAGTCACATCGTGTTGCGCGGCAACTGCCGGGTCCTTGAGAGGTGGCTGAGCGGATGGCCGTGACGCTGCTGCCGGGGCAGGCGCCTGGGCATCTTTGAGGGCCTCCGTCTAGAATCCCGAATAGCAGTGGAGCATAGTTGTCGGGCTCTGCTTATGGTACGAAGCCATCCTAGGCAAGGATATCTGCAGAGGTTGCCAAGGGTTCCACTTCAAGAGCCTTTTTACGCTTGTGCGGAGCCTTACCCACCGACAGGGCCCCGTAATTATGTCACCCCCATAGGTTCATATTCTCAGCCGAAGCGGTCGAAGTGTTTTCAGGGACGGGCACGAAAATCTCCGTAATTCATGCAGAACTCCAGAAAAGACGGAGGGGGCGGTATTTAAATTGGGTGTTCCTAAAGCCTAAACTTCCCTAAAGCCTAAACTTCCCTAAGCCTTGCTGCAAGGTTGAACGCTAAATCCTGGGAGGATCGGACAGGAAGAAGGGTGGAGTCCCTGACGCCAGCCCAAACCCCGAAGAGCAAGAAGAGAAACAAAACAGTTTAGGGTTTAGGGTTTAGGGTTTAGGGTTGAGGGTTGAGGGTTGAGGGTTGAGGGTTGAGGGTTGAGGGTTGAGGGTTGAGGGTTGAGGGTTGAGGGTTGAGGGTTGAGGGTTGAGGGTTGAGGGTTGAGGGTTGAGGGTCTAGGCAAACAGGCATAGGAGCCGTGGGGTTTTCCACAGGTGTGCCGTAGCAACCCCCCTTTTTTTTTTTTATTTCCTCTCTCTCTCTCTCTCTCGTTTGGATTCGGACCCTTCATAAACCCATTGCAACCAACATGAGCTTGCGTTTCTCCTACGTTCCGGGGTTACCTACCCTGAGCCCAAACCCTAGACCCCAACCCTACACCCCGAACCCTCAGACCGAGCCCGAAAAATTCGAGACACTGGGCACTCCACCCTAACCCCTAGATTGAAATGTTGAATTCCGAAGCCCGCCCAGAAGACCGAAACCCTCAAAACCTTGATCCTGCACACTGAATCACCTTTAATCCGAACCCTTCACCTTCTTAAACCCGAAACAGAAGAACCCTAAACCCTAAACCCTAAACCCTAAACCCTAAACCCTAAACCCTAAACCCTAAACCCTAAACCCTAAACCCTAAACCCTAAACCCTAAACCCTAAACCCTAACCATAAGCCAGGCGGGACTGGAGTCGCTCCTGCAGGGGCGCAAGGCCTGGCTCGGGGTGTCGAAGGCATTTCGGGTCCTTAGGGTTTAGGGTGGAGGGTTTAGAGCTTAGGGGGGCTTGGAGGATTCAGGTTTCGAGTGTCTACGGGGGGACTGAGTTCTAAACACAGCTGCTTGAATCGAAGGTTTTTTGTTGCAATTTGGAGGGTTTGGGGTGGAGAATTTTGGGCTTAAGGTGTTCGGTGGGCTTTGGGTTTCGGATGCCGGGCTTTGTTGGGGAAGGTGGGGCGTACTCTTCCTCGTGGGATCCCTACTAAGGACTGTTAGTATACCGGGGAACATCCCAATCTTTATGTAAAAGAGGCTCAAAGGGGACGTACTGTTGTCGGTTGCTCACGCTGTGACTGTTTCCGCCTCTCCTCGGATGGATGAGTGCCCTAATTAAGCCCTTAGGTTAAACTATCACTTAAATCTCGGACGACAGGAGACGACTAGGGCAAACTGCCAACCCTGAACCCTTCAATCCTAAAAAGGCCCCCTAAACCCTAAACCTGAAACCCAAAACCCTTCAGCACTTGCAGTGAGGACCCAATGGCTTCGACAAGCATCGAGGCTGGCTGTGTGGAACGATCGTTATTTGTGATTTGGTCGTCCTGATTACTCTCATTACTTGGGATGTTCCTTTCTTCATACTAGCAGTCCTTAATGGGGATTTTAGTACTCCCTATGATAACCCCTATTAAGGAGTGTTAGTACGAGGGGGGACATCCCAACTCAGTATCTTTGTTTTGGCCATTACCCTGTTATATCCGATATTGTCGTGATGGTGATGCTGGCATTGATATGGAGGGTCGGGGTGGGCGGAGGTTACAAGCGCCGAGGCCATGAAGCACGAGCGTCATTTTAGGATCGAGACTTAGTGCGCTTGTCTGGCTCGGTGCTGTTATTCCGCCTTGCTGGCCTCGATCCTGCACTACCCAACTATAAAGCCTCAAAGAACCTCCACATGAAGCATTGCAGGTGAGGGTAGGGGTCGCACATCATCCCATAACGCAACCTAGAGGCACAGAGGCACAGAGGCTTAGAGGCTTAGAGGCATGATGGCCCTAGTGGTGCGCAGCCCAGTTTGAAAGCAATCCACATGACACATTATATATTTATATATATATATACACACTTAAACCCAAGACTGGGAACCCCTAGCCAAGAGGGCCTCTGACGTCTTCGGATGGCAGGAGTGCTTCCCATCCATGATGCACTACCTCTTCCGGTATGGCAGATCCTTCGAGGCGTGCGAACCTCACCCTAAACCCTAATCCCTAAACCCTAAACCCGAAACCCTAAACCCTAAACCCTAAACTCATTTCCTGAACTTTGACCTGCCCTGACCCCGAATCGGGAATAGTTCCTAACTTCCCCTCGTGCTTGATGATAGAATCCATGGCTGTGTACAGCTTAAGCGATGGGAATACCTAGTGCTTCTTGGGACGCGCGGAGCCAGGAAGTCATGATCTGAACGGTGAATATAGGGGCCTCAATAACTAGAAAAGGGCTAGGGGTTTTTGGGGTTATTACGATACGATTATACAGGAACCATAGTAAGAGAGTACTGTTAGTAATCATTCCGACCCCTATATTCATCCCCAACCCCACCACACGATGAGCCACTGTGTGTGCCCAAAGTTCCGCCATGGCGATACATTGATTGTTCTGACAATCTTCCAACCCATGCCCGAAACTCTGAACCCTAAACCCTAAACTCCAAGCTCTAAACTCTAAACCCTGCGCTCCTGAATTTCCGGGTTCTCGAACCCGACGCCCCAAAACCTTACCCTCAACCATAGGCCGTACAAGACCCTAAGCTAATCGGCGTCTTATGAGAAGAAGGGGCCCGAAAAGGAATGTAGGGAAGTATCCACATGTCGTTAGGGTTTGGCAGCATACTGGGTGACGTTTGGCAATGTGTGGGTTTTCGGGGGGGCGGTAGAACTGCAAGCTTGCGTGCTGCCGACATCCGAATCTAGACAAGGAAAGCACTTTGCTGTTGGGGAGGTGTTCTCCAGGCAGCTGGGAAGTAACTGCAGCGAAAACAGATCCTCAAGCCCTATGGCCCTAGGGGTTCTGAAGACCTAGAAGCTCTAACCACAGGGCAGCTTCCATCAGCTCAGCACAGGGAGTCATTGAACCTGCGCCCTAAACCCTAAACCCTAAACCCTAAACCCTAAACCCTAAACCCCATCCTGAGCCCTAAGCCCTGATCCCGAATCCTAAATCCCTCGCAGTTCCTAAGCTGCACAGTCCAGAGCCCACACTACTGGACCCAATTGCCCATCATGATGCCGGCGTGGACCCCGCAAACAGTGCAAGACCGCTGTAAGGTCGTGCCAAGAGCAAACTCCCGACGAAGCAAGCCTGAACCCTATACCCTAAACCCGAAACCCGAAACCCGAAACCCGAAGCCTAAACCCTAAACCCTAAACCCTAAACCCTAAACCCTAAACCCTAAACCGTAAACCCTAAACCCTAAACCCTAAACCCTAAGCCCGCATCGACTTTGGGAAGGAGCTCCTCCTTGCGCAATCCAACGTCGGGGGCGAAACGGTGCACCGAGGCAAGGAACGAACCTTGAACCCCAAAGCCTGGACCCCAAGTTTTTAAGCTAGGGTTTAGGGTTTAGGGTTTAGGGTTTGGGGTTTAGGGTTTAGGGTTTAGGGTTTAGGGTTTAGGGCCCTAAACCTTGCACCCTTACTACATGAAACTCTTCGGGTTCAGGGTTTTTGGGGGTTTAGGGCCAAGCGCAGGCGCCATCCTGGGCGCCTTGGCGGGTGCCACAGCGGGCCGCAGCTCTCTTCCCGATGCCTGGTGCAAGGGGCACCTCGCACCGGATGGGCTGTTGAGGCTTACTCGGAGGTTCATGGTACTTATGAACCAATTCGAACTGCACTTCTAACCCTAACTGTACTTATAGCCATATTAGGGCACTTAAGGGGCTTCTAAGTGGGTTATAAGTGCACCTAAAAATTGGCTAGTAAGTACTGTACCATGAACCTCCAAGTAGGGTCTAGGCTGAGTCTAGGGGTTCAGGGTTCAGGGTACTTGTATGGGGGTTTCCGGGATTGGGCGGCCTCATTGGGTCCTTAATGTGAGGGAATCCTACCATTTGGAGGGTCTAGTATAGGGGTCAGTTGTAAGGGAGGGTTTTCGGGGCGTTCGTAGCGAGTTTAGGGGTTTAGGTGGTACCCGGCCGCGAGCATGCTCGACATGCTTTTCAATTTTGTTGCTTACTCATTTCTAGGGCTTAGGGTTTAGGGTTACATTTGGGTAGCTCACAATGTTGAGGGCTTTTAGGGAAGGGCCGTATGTGCTGAAAAAAGGTTGGCCAAACCCCTAAGACCCCAAACCCTGAGGCGGTTCAGGCAGCCGCGGACCTTTCTTGGGGCGCCAGAGGCCAACTCAAAACCAAATGGTTAACCTTGACATGTCCTAGCAAGAAACACCCAGAACAAAATGAAACCACGCTACCTAGACCTCGAAACCCTAAACCCTGTTCCCTAAACAAGGTTGGCCGACTTTGTCGCCATTGATGCGGAGGTGGAGTCGTTCGTGCAAGCCGTTTGCGACGCCCGGGTCTCACCCTGCTTGCACTCCAAACTTAGAACCTACCTCCGCGACAAGCCCATCCTTGCCACCATCTTGGAAATATGGGAGCCCGCGACAAGCCCGCTTCATACGTATGACACAACCAGGCGCGAGAAACGTATGTAGCAGAGGCGGGGCGCGGGACATTGCAACATACCCCTGTTTCGACTCACAGCTAATTTAAGGCAAAAGAGGGTCTTGATTTTCTACAAGCAAAAGAGAGAGAGAGAGATATATATATATACACACATATATACATATACATGTACATATACATATACATATACAGATACAGAAACATATACATATACACATACATCTATACTTTAGTATAATAGCACACACCATGGGTACACCCCTCAACCGTCCACGTGTAAGGCAGCCGGCTCACCCGTAGGGACATGAAGCAGACCACTTGATGGCGAAGACGAGAACTGTGGCAAGGCCAGTTCAGAGCCAGCTGCTTCTTTGCGTTTGCGGTTTAAGGGTTTGGGGTCTAGGGCTTCGGGGCTTAGGGGCTTTGTACGAGTAAGCTCGCCATGAGCCTTCAAGTAATTGGAGTGGGCTTCCCCTTATACCTGCACTTCAAGGATACTGTCAGGGCACTTCGCTCGAAGGGTTGAGCTGCGTTTGGCTCAGGTCTACTTGTTAGCTCGGCCGAAAAAAAACCCTTACCGACAGTATTTCGCTGAAGAGATGTGCGCAATTCTGTCGCTGGCCCGCGAACAGGGTTCAGGAGTTTGCGGTTTCAGCCGGAGAAATCCACAGCACTTTTTTGGGGCCAACAATCTTTGGGGCGCTTTATGATGGGGTGCGCTGAGCTGTTGGAAATATACCGGAACAGAGACCCCAGGCTAAGCCCCCCCCCCCCCCCCCCCCCCAAATAGTTCCTGTTGGAACAAGTTCCCTTTTTGAAGAACACTCTAAATCCTAAAGCCCTAAAATCTAAAATCCCGAAGCCCAGGGTACCCTGTTTTGTTCGACAGGTCCTGGCATTGGCTCTCGTGATGTTGGGCTCTAGGGGTTTGGGGCTTAAGGGATCGTGGATGTAGGGTTTAGGGGTTTAGCGTTGAGGGTACAGAAGCACAGAATTTCGTGCGTTGGATGCATGTACCGAGAAAAGCTCCGCTGCAATCCAGTGAGTCTCCAACAATCTACTGTCACAGGCACGGCCCTCAGCCAAGTTGATCTTTGGCGCATACTCCCTAAACCCTCAACCCTAAACCCTAAACCCTAAACCCTATACCCTAAACCCTAAACCCTATACCCTAAACCCTAAACCCCTAACCCCTAAACCCTAAACCCCAAACCCTAAACCGGCAAGCCGGTGAACCCACGACGCCCCCCTTCCCAAAAGCGAAGGACTGGATATCGTCGCCTGCAACGAAACGACCGCCCGCAGCCATGGCCCCGAAGCTTGGTTGGGGTTTAGGGTTTAGGGTTTAGGGTTTAGGACTTAGGACTTAGGGCTTCGGGTTTAGGGCTTAAGGTGCATTTTGGGTTCCATTCGAGTTTGGGTTTACGGGTGTGTGCTGACCTGTAGCCCCCCAAAGCCTACAAGTGAGTATGTCAAACCCTAAACCCTAAACCCTAAACCCTAAACCCTAAACCCTAAACCCTAAGCCCTAAACCCTAAACCCTAAACCCTAAACCCTAAACCCTAAACCCTAAACCCTAAACCCTAAACCCTAAACCCTAAGCCCTAAGCCCTAAACCCTAAACCCGAAACCCTAAAGCGATGTAGCTGTAGGCAGCCGGAGCCTCTGAGAAGCCCGAATCTGACACACCTGGTTCTCGTAATTTTCTTGTGAGGTGACCCCTAGAAGCCCAATAAATGCAAGCCCTCAACCGTTCATCCGAAAAACCTAAACCCTAAACCCTAAACCCTAAACCCTAAACCCTAAACCCTAAACCTTCAAACCCTCAATCCTGACCGCAACCCCTAAACCCCTGTGGGCTGATGTCTGAGTCCGTGCTTTCCGTTGACAGCCAGGACTCTCCACTGTCGGACGCGAACGAGATCCTTGGAGCTGCGCTTTGCGCCCGCGCGCCTCCTGTGAACAAAAAGCAGGGTTTAGGGGGCTTTAGGGGGCTTTTGGTTCTACACTTATCTCCTTGTGGTGTCTTCTTTATTGAGTGTTCGGTCACAAAAGTTTCCTTTAGGGTACCTTCTACACACCCTTGGCCCTAAACCTGGATCACCGATCGCTGCACTGTAGCTTCTCGCGATGCAGCCCTCTGAATCCCAAGGTCCGACATGGAGGGTCCACCGGGGCGCTGTCTAAGAGGAGGGACCCTAAACCCTAACCCTAAACACTAAACCCCTAAGCCCTAAACCCTAAGCCCTAAAAGATCCTCTGAACCGAAGGCGGGCCTTCCCTTGGGGTTAGGGTTTTGGGCGCGTCTCGCAGATTCGAAAGCCCAACATCATGACCAGCCTTTTCCCCGCGCGCAACTCCTGTGTCGACGATGCAAGCTGCCCAACACACCCCATGAGACCCCCTGAGCCGTTAACACCCTCTGAAAGTGACCCAAAATTTCAAAACTCTAGCCCCCAGTCTCACTCCACACCCGAAGCTCCTGAACCCCCCTAGCCCAAGACCCTGTACTTCCTGCCGCCCGCAGGGAGCGATCCACATGCCGGGTGGACAAAGCAAGGACTACTGAGAAACCCTACGCCCTGGAGTTTAGGGTTTAGGGTTTAGGGTGCACTTCAGTCTATTGGGGCCGTAAGGGGCACCTGCAAGTATAAGGGCATGCTCAGGGTGTCAGGCAAAAGCAGATCAACCCTCATCTTAGCGCCTAGGGCAGGGACGCCAGAAAATCGACAGTACTCCCCAAGAAAGCAGCAAGGTTATTCGCGGTAGAGTCTTTACCAGGTGTGGAGGATCTCACGTTTTCAAGGGACTAATTGAGACACCCTTATAGGGCACCTTAGGAGTAGTGTAGGGGCTACTTAGGTATATAGGGATTACATAGTGTACACTATATACATAGGGTTGTATTGTTTAAGATCAAGGGCCCCTTTTAGGAGTCCCTCCTTCTATCCCTTCAATTCTAGGGTACCTGGTAGGGATCTCGGTGAGCTAACCCACAGGGTCACTTCTCTAATTCATGGTCCCTTTTCGGGGTCACTCTTAGAAGGCAGCCCCCATTTTTAGGGTACACAAGAGGGAGCATGATCTTGACCCACACACACACACGCACACACGCGCCTGAATTCTTGGGTATCTTTGTGTGAAGGGCACATGGTTACTCTAGGTCGACTCCGAAGGACATCGGGCTAGGGGGCGTTGGCAGTTTTGCTTTCTGGGTGCGGCAGGAGGGGTGCCATCAAGTGTTTCGTGGGTTTCGGGTTTGGGGCTAGGGTTTAGGGTTTGGGGCTAGGGTCTAAGGTTTAGGGTTTCGGCCCCCTTCCCCCAAAGCGGCCCTCAAAGTAAGTCCCCAACAAAGCCTGAGCGCCTTTGCAATAGAGCCCTAGGCTTCGGAAAGTCCTTAATGTTTTTGTGGTGAGGTTTTAGGATTTTGGGGACTAGCGTTTAACGAGGTGGTACGTAGTATTTCGTTTTGAGTATGAACCTCAACTCGAGTACCCTATAGATTTCTGAGCCATGGACCCTAAGATGCCTCTATAGTGCGTACGCGTAAAATCTTATTGTGGTGCATTCTTTTCTTTGTTCATTTATATTCATTTATAAACCTATTATTGTTTTTTTTGTTCTTTTTTTGGGGGTGGGGCGGGGGGGGTGGGGGGGTGGGGGGGTGGGCTTCCCAAAACCGACCTTGTCGCAAGGGGCTACTCAGAGCTCGCATAAGGGGCTTAACAATCACAACCTATAAGAATGTAGGTTGTGGGTTCTTGGTTCTTATTATAATGATGAGTGAGCCCGCAGCCTGCACTTTGTTTCTTACACCTTGCCACGACCCGAGGTGTTTTGAGGCTTCGTATCTGCGTTGAAGATTCAGTAGGGTTTGGGGTTCAGGGTTTCGGGCATCGATTCTCACGACTCAGTTTGTAGTGCTGAGGCTGGAGAGAGTTGACTGCCCTGAGGCTCCGCATCAAGCCCAACACATAACTCTGGATCCGCCTTGACTCTACAACCCTTGAGCCCTTAGCATACTGGTTCTTGGTAAGGAGTTGGGGAATTCGGTTCTTGAGATGGTCCCCGAAAGAGTTGTATAGGGGATTTAAGGAGCCCCACTCCCAAATTCCACGTCAACGAACTGGTAAGTAAACCTACCCCAAACCCTAAACCCGAAACCCTAAACCCGAAACCCTAAACCCCAAACCCTAAACCCAAAACTCGAAACCCTCAACCCTGTTTGAAAATCCCGCGCGGAAGAGGGCGGCGGCGTCTACGTGCTGGCATGGGCGGCGGTGCCGAACTTTGTGGCATGCTTTCCAGGTTTTGTGAGTTGAGAACTAGGGGGGGGGGACATAGAAGTTCACATGGATACACGCAGCTACAAGTTACAACCATTACTTTTACACAAAGAAGCATAAGTACAAAGATCCCCCAGAAAGTCCTCAAGGACCCTGCTAGTTACACAGCAGTTTGGGACACCCTAAACCCTAAACCCCCTAAACCCTAAACCCTAAATCAGGCGGCAAAGATGGCGTTTGCTGGCGCAAGAACTTCCCTCGCTTTGGTACGGAGAAGCATGATTTTCTGCTGAAGAAATTCCACGACGAATCCGGCTGGGACCCGAATGCGGCCGAGAAGTTTTGGGAGAAGTGGCAGAGCAAGGAGGTGTATGACATGGGCAAGAAGTTCAAGACCGACTACGAAGGCAACAAGGTGGCAAAAGCTGCCATTTTGTCTAGTCAGTGCAAGGAGATCCGGGGGGAAGAGCTTCAGGGTATGCAGAAGGATGTGGCGACGGCCAATTGCCGTGCCATGACGCAACAAGCAGACCACACCCGTGCTCGCCGGGTGAAGTTGCTGGCGACCATTCAAGAAGACGCCCGGAAGGCTGCCGCCGACCGCCACGTCATCGAATTAGGGAGTGTGCAGGCCGTGGACAAGGAGTTCCGGAAGGAGGCCAAGAAAGCTGCCAAGCGCAAGGCAAGAAAGATGCAAACGCGGCCTTCAACCGTGACAACCCACAGGGCTCAAGGAATTCAAGCTCCTTTGTGGGGAAAGGTCGCTCCGGCAAGCATGGGGCGGCAAAGCCATCGGGCATCCGTCCACAAAATGGTGGTGGCAAGCTTGGTGAGCCAAGCAACGCAGGCAACACGGCCAAGAGAACCAAGAACGTGGATGACAACACAAGCCTGCCGGACATCCTGACGGCCTCCAGTGCAGTGCGGCCAGTTCCAGACAAGCGGTGGACAGCAAGAGGAGAATATTTCCAAGAAGAGTGCATGCAGGGAGCAACAAACTCTAAACCCTAAACCCTAAACCCTAAACCCTAAACCCTAAACCCTAAACCCCTAAACCCTAAACCCTAAACCCTACACCCTACACCCTAAACCCTAAACCCTAAACCCTACTCGTGAGGCCGCCGCAGCTTTTTGCTTTCCAACAAGGATGAGAATGCAAGATGAGTCCTCATGCCAGGCAGACCTTTCATGCCCACCCCGGCGATTGAAGCAAAGCCTCCACTTCATCCCCTACCACCACAAACAAGATAAACCTTGAACCCCAAACCCCAAAAGGCCCGAAACCCCATGAGCTTTAGAAACCCTACAAGCTAATATAGCCCGGTGGACCCTAATCTTTCCTGAAACCCTATAAGCCCCGAGTCCCTAATCTGAAAGCATACTTTGCGGGCACCGCCCCGCGAGAAGAGATGGCAGGAGTCTTGTTCATCTCGCTGCTTCCCGTCTTCATCGCCATAGTGTTTCGGGGTTTAAGGTTTCGGGTTTTTGGTTTAGGGTTTCGGGGCTTGCCTGCAAAAGGTGGTTTGACGAGAAGCAGCTGTTGTACCCTCCTGTATACAAGGTGGTTAGTGGGTTATGGCATGGATCAGAGTGTTGGTGCGTAGGGTTGGGTGAAAGCTGAACACTGTAACTGACCACTCCTTGGTTTAGGATTGTTTTCGTAGCGGGCGGACTCTACAAGAGGGCTCGAGGAGACCACCGTGGCCGAATTCTTTCCTAAGAGCCAGAAGCCGTTGTGAACCATGAGGGTATGGTTTTTTCTTGACACTTGTACAGAAGCAAGGTCTGGAACCATGTCGGAAAATGGGGCTCGGGTTCACATGGGCAGGATTGGTGATGTGGTTTCGGGTCTAGGCGGTAGGTCGAAGGCATCACAAGCGGCCTCCTGCCCTTCCCTACCCTGTACTCGCAAACCAAAAAACGCCTAGACCCGAAGCACGCCTGGGTTCCCGTAAGCACCGTAGGCAGCTGCATCATTGCTGAAGTCTGCAGTTGCCATACCTTTCTTTTCGGCCTAAAATGGTTTAGGATTCAGGACTTAGGGTTTAGCGCGCCTCTACCCAAGTCCCTGAACCTTCAACCTTGAATGCCATCTGATGCGCAGCAATTGCTTCATCAGCGTAGCGACTTAGCTGATTGCCAAATAAATAGGTTTCTGACATGTGTCAAACGCTCTTTCCCGCGGGCATCGTCTTCATTGTCTTGGTTGAGTTCTGCGAGCGGCTTTGCTACTACACCTTTGCGGCTTGGTTGCCCAGTGGTACCCTTTACGTTTTTTGGATTCTGGGTTCCCTTATAAAGTAACCAACCAAAAAAAGGGAACCCTGATAAAGCAATATGGTTACTGGGCTACTAAGGCGGGTACTCAAAAGACTTGGCTGCAAGACCGCGGCTACAGCAACTGGGCTATTGCTTGAGTAGCTGCGCCTTTTGGGTTCCCGAACTGGCTCCGATGCCCGGAGCCCCTAAACCCCAAACCCTAAACACCCTAAACGCCTTAAACACCTTAAACACCCTTAAACCCCCTAAACCCCCCCTAAACCTCCTAAACCCTAAACCCTAAGCCCTAAACCCTAAACCCTAAACCCTACACCCTAAACCCTGAACCCTGAACCCTAAACCCGAAACCCTGAACGCATCAGCACAGGCAACTCGCAATCCAGTTCCATCAACCTGATTTGGGCGGAAGTGTGCTACGTGTGCCTTGCAGATGAGCCCCCTTAAGATGAGCCCAGGGTGAAAGGGTTTAGGGTTTAGGGTTTAGGGTTTCGGGTTTAGGGTTTAGGGTTTACTACTATTTGCTTAAGAACCCCCCCCCCCCCCCCCCCCCCAAAAAAAAAAAAATATTCCTCAGCGTGCCCAACCCCGGATGATCTCTACCGTGTGCATCAAATGCTTCGGTTTTTGGGTGGGGACGTTCGAAAATTGGCTCGCCTTGATTTTTCATGAGCCAGGTTCCCTCATCAGAGACGCCTGAAAACACAAAAGTTGGCCCGTTGTTCTCCCCAGATCTCTCCGGAAACCTAAGCCCCTAAACCCTACTTGGAGGTTCATGGTACTTATTCACCAAGTATAACTGTATTTGTAACCCAGCTATAACCACCTTAGTGGCACTTAACGGGGTTATAAGTGGGTGTTAAGTACAGTTCTAACTGGTTACTACAATTTGCTTAAGAACCCCAAAAGAAGAGATAATAATCCTTATATTACCCTTAATAAGGAAGAGTCTTCTTTATTTTTTCGGGGTTCTTAAGCAATTAGTAGGTTAGTAAGTACCATGAACCTCCAAGTTGTCAAGGCTTTATTTGGCCCCCGAGGTGCTGTTTTGTGGGAGGATGGCTAGCTTCCACGCGCTTCGGAATCTTCAAGACTATTGCCGCGCTCTCCTTCGCCTATGCATTGGGTATGCCGGCTGCGAGGGCTTTTGGTGTTTAGGGCGCCCGAAATTCCTAAAGCCCTGAGTTCCCTAAATAGGAGCTACATTTGGGGCCTTTTGTGGGGCTTGTCGGAGAAGTAGCCGAACATACTTAAAGCAGATCACTCTCCTGAGGTACCTATCTTAGTGCCGCCGCCGCCCTGCCAAACGTCGAAAGCGTGCCCTTCTACCTGGTCGGGACGTTCGGGCTGGTAGCTTTGGGTTCCGGAGGCATCAAGCTGCCTGCTTGCAGTCGGGCTTAGGGTTTAGGGTTTAGGATTTAGGGTTTAGGGTTTTGGGCTTAGGGCTTAGGGCTCTAAAGCCCTAAAGCCCTGAAGCCCTGAAGCCCTCAAATCATATAGGCCTTGAGTGAAGCCCTTGATCCGCAGAAGGGTTTTAAAACACCAGCCCCTAAACCCTAGGGGTTTGTGAGCTGTAGAGTGTGGGGTCTGGGGCGTTTCTTAGGATTGCAACTTTGCCGACTTTGGTCTAAAGTCTGCAGCGAAGGGGAGACACAGACTAATGCTTGCTTGGGCTTTTCGGTATGGGTTTCGTGCTTCCCGAGCGTCACTTTGAATCTTCTACGTTCCTTTGAGTTAGTGCAAGTTGAGCATACATCGTAATCACCCTTCCGATAAATAGACGACCCTTCAAATGCGGCTTCGCTGAGCCCCAACTCTGAATTTCCCGTCGCTGAGGCCAAACGTATGTACCATGGGCGCGAACCAGTTTGATCCGGCGGACCCCGATGCAGAGGTGGGTTCAGGGCCGAGGGTTTAGGGCTTAGGGCTCATACTCGAAGACTTGAAAAATACCCCATGGGTCGTGTTTAAAGTAGTGTTTACGTAAGGCAAGGCTATGCTAGAACCTTCATAATGGCTAGAACCTTAATTCGGGTACCCATGGCCGCCTTGAGGGAGAAAACCCCCTGAACCCATAGGGTTTAGGGTTTAGGGTTTAGGGTTTAGGGTTTAGGGTTTAGGGTAGAAAAGGGACCCTTAATCTTACTCCGAGACCTCGACTCCAAGCCTGGATCCCTTCAACTTGGAAGCCGCTCTCAACCGTGCGAAGCCCGAGGAGAAGAGGGCGTCCTTCTTCCTGTACTTCTACCTCACCATCAACGTGGACTGGGGCCTTGCTAAGCAATCTTTCGCGCTTTATGGGGGTTTACTATATCCTGCCTTGGGGATTATTGAACAGTTTTTTCCAGTTTTGTTTATATCAAACACAAGAGGATATAAGCAATATTATGTTTATTAAGGTTCTAAGGGGAGTATAGCTTGGTAGGGTCGATCGAATGTTAGGGCTCGGCAGCCACCAGCCAGGGCAGGCTGAGGACATGGCCTTAGGGTTTGAAAGAGCTGGGTTTGAAGGTTCATGTGCTAAACCCTAAACCCTAAACCCTAAACCCCAATATCACCAAAGTTCCTCACGTTGCTTGTCCTGAGTGGAAGCGCCAGGGCATAGCGTGCCACTTTTGCCATGCTCGGTTTAATTTCCTGACTAAATCCGAAAAATTCCTTCGAAAATGCCATAAACCCTCAAAGCTGTCTCAGCGAGAGACAAACGCTTGGTTGGGAGTCCTACAAGAACAGTGTGCAAAATTAAGTGACATCATCACCAAACTGGAAGCATGATATGCCACACATGCTGATTAAAGCATCAGCCGTCTCACTTATATTGATCGCATTGACTTCAAGTCCGTGTCAACCCTAAACCCCAAACCCCAAACCCCAAACCCCAAACCCCAAACCCTAAACCCTAAACCCTAAACCCTAACTAAACCCTAAACCCTACACCCTGTGCAGGGTTAAGAGCTAGGATTTGGTTTAGTAGTGATGGCGGGAAGGCGTGGAATCTGTTTTCTCATGAACCGCTCTGTACCACCCACGCTAGACCCATCTCCCCTACACAGTGCCCCAAGCCCTAAACCCTAAACCCTAAACCCTAAACCCTAAACCCTAAACCCTAAACCCTAAACCCTAAACCCTAAACCCTAAACCCTAAACCCTAAACCCTAAACCCTAAACCCTAAACCCTAAACCCTAAACCCCTAAACCCTAAACCCTAAACCCAAATCAAAGCAGCAGAGTCCGCGCGGAAGCACCAAGGTGGGCAGTGCTATCTCTCACGCCTTCCTCTCAAGTTGGGCCACCTCCGGCGTACCGAGTATCGGGGTGCCAGTCTTAGCTGAAGGGACGGGGGTTTAGGGTTTAGGGTTTAGGGTTTAGGGTTTAGGGTTTAAGGTTGGGTAAGGGTTGTGGGGCCCTAAAGGGCAAAGTTTGGGATTAAGGGGGAGCTTAGGTTTTTCTTGGCCTCCTTGCTTGGGTCTCTTACATGGGCGGGGGGGACTTTTTTTCGGGCACCCCTCAAACTACGGCTCCATGTACTAGGGCACCCAAAAAAGGCTCCATACTAGGTTTCCCCAAAAAGAAACCCATCAAAGAGACCCTGCCCCGAGTTCTGTCGACCCGACTCCCGAGGGCTTGCCTTCAGGGATAGTCAGAGCCTGCGGGCTTCTCCCTAAACCCTAAGCCCTAAACCCTAAACCCTAAACCCTAAACCCTAAACCCTAAACCCTAAGCCCTAAACCCTAAACCCTAAGCCCTAAACCCTAAACCCTCTTGGGCACTCTCGAAGGCTTCTTTGGGGGAGTGGAGGCGAGGAGCATGGTTGAGTTACAGCCCTAACAACTCCACACTGAGGATGGGGAGACAAGGGAGATGTGCTTAAACATGGTTGGGTAGTAAGCAAGTTACACCTCTTTCATGAAGGGGTACAAGGCAAAAGGGTTGGGTCTTGGTAAAGTCCCCAACGAGGTTGAGATTGAGTATGGGTATTTCTTTGCCTGGATGGTCGCTGCCAGCTTTATGTTGCTGGCCTTTTTGGTTTTCGTGGCCGGGTACCGGAGCTACCGCAAGCTACCTCCAGCTGAAGATGAGGAACCAGTGGTGCGTATGTTTTTGCAAAATTTGCGACTGGGGAGTAAATCCATGTATGGCAAACTTGCCATGTTGGGTTGGTCCTTGATCCCTATCTTCATCATTGTCAGCATCGTCAATGCCTTCGCGGAGTTGGAAGCACTGAAGATCGGTTCCGCCGTGGTAGCAGTGGTTTGCATTGGGTCCCTCATCATCGCCCACCTGAATAACCAGGCTTTTCTTCCGAAGGGCGATATCAGCGACTGCATGGATTGTGTGCCCCTGCTCCTGGTGGGGAATCTGTTCTTTGGCATCCTACAGAGCACCATCTCCAGCGTCTTCCAGTCCGAAGCATGCCAGATTCTTGGGGGACCTTGGGATATGTTTTCTAAACCCTACACCCTAAACCCTAAACCCTAAACCCTAAACCCTAAACCCTAAACCCAAACCCTGAACCCCAGGATGGATACCCGATCAGATCGCAACGACCTCTCCTTCGAAGGCTTCCAGTACCTTGGTAGCCCAGTGGTACCCTTTACCCTTTTTTTTGTTTAGGGTTTAGGGTTTAGGGTTTAGGGTTTGGGGTTTAGGGTTTAGGGTTTAGGGTTTAGGGCGCCCTCCTAAGGTACAGTGGCGACTTCTTCCGTCTGGCCAACCCGGTGACTCTGATGCCCAGTAGTTGTATTCCATTCTTGAGCTTTTAGCTGCCTGTAGGGTTTCGGGTTTAGGGTTTAGGGTTTAGGGTTGAGGGTTCAGGGTTGAGGGTTCAGGGTTGAGGGTTGAGGAGCTCAACGAAACACACCCTTTTCATTCTTAGGCTGCTGGCGTACCTAGGTGACCATCGTCATTGGCACCCCGTTGCTCGACCGCGTCATCTACCCTGCCATCAGGGCCTTGACCGGTCGAGAAGTTAGCATCGGATGCAAGGTGGGTTTAGGGTTTAGGGTTTGGGGTTTAGGGTTTGGGGTTTGGGGTTCAGGGTTTAGGGACCATGGCTTCCAGAAGCTCTTTGGGCTTCGGGGCCGGTATGAGCTTAGTTAGCAGGCCGGAACAAGGCTCCTGCCGACCCATGGGGCCCGGCTGAGGTGAGAGGGAGAGAAGGGGTTTCAATTGCAGATCCCCGTGTGGCGGTGAAGGGTGTCTTCTCAACAAGATCGATTTTACACCACGCCCTGGACGATCCTAAACCCTAAACCCTAAACCCTAAGCCCTAAGCCCGAAGCCCTCAACCCTAAACCCTAGACCCTAGACCCTAGACCCTAAACCCTCCTCAACCCCAGAGCTCAGGGGCAGATGTTCGTAAAGCCTTGAAAGGCTAAGCTGGTTGCGAGCAGGCTGTGCTGCAACAAGAGGCTCACCAGTCTCATCTACGACAATAAGGGACCCCTAACAAAGACCCCCAAATAGTAGGATTCCCTTGCAGGTTTAGGGTTTAGGGTTTAGGGTTTAGGGTTTAGGGTTTAGGGTTTAGGGTTCAATAAGGTACCCCAAACATCGTGAAACCCTAAGTCGTCCCCTGAGCCAGGTCGTCTCGGGCTTCAGCTTTGCGATTGGGGCTCAGCTTGTGGCTGCTTCCATCGAGTATGCTCGCAACCTGCCGCCTTGTGGCCCCCCTAAGCCCTGCTTCCGAACCTAAACCCTAAACCCTAAACCCTAAACCCTAAACCCTAAACCCTAAACCCTAAACCCTAAACCCTATAAGTCTGCAAGATCTTTTCGGGCTTAGGGTTTTTTGGGGTGGGGCCTTTACCTGCAGCTCTGAGAACTGGGATACCCTAAACCCTAAACCCTAAACCCTAAACCCTAAACTCTAAACCCTAAACCCTAAACCCTAAACCCTAAACCCTAAACCCTAAACCCTAAACCCTAAACCCTAAACCCCTAAACCCCTGAAACCCTGGTGACGGAGGTAAGGGCGCAGCCGTGCTTCCGGTTCCATCGCACTGCGCTCCCAAGGTTGACGGCGAGCACGTGCATATGAGCCCCTGGCGAAAACTTCCCCCTGAAGAAAAATGTTGGGTTTAGGGTTTAGGGTTTAGGGTTTAGGGTTTAGGGTTTAGGGAGAGTAGGGATGGAGATTCTATTCCCTCTTGTGATTCTTTGGGTTCCCTGATTGAAGTCGACATCCTTGGTGCCCCATAGCTTAATGTAGCCTGGGCTCATATGAATCCCGTTGTTTTGGGCGGCACTCACCCCCCCCACCCACCCCTCTTCCCCCCTAATTGGGTGTCTGGGTTCTCGAGAACATTCCCCGGTTTTCTTGCTTGAAGGGTCCAACGTCGCAAGCGATTTCTGTCTTGCCTTCTGGTGAACAAAAGATGCGAGGAGTGACATCAACTCGTTTTACATGGTGGCTCCATATGCCATGGTGCCTGGGCTAAGACGAAAGCTCCTACTTGGAGGTTCATGGGTACTTGTAGTAGGGTTGAACCCTATACTCGAAACCCTAGACCCCCAAGTAAAGTAGCTATGCTTATACCTTATTTAGGGTACTTCTAACCCTACTTGTAAGTGCCCATGCGCCTCCAAGTAACACCCAATCAGCCCCGGAGTCGGGAAGTCCCAGCAAAACTCGCCATCCGAAAGCCTTTTTGGTTTAGGGTTTAGCCCAAAACCCTAAACCCCAAACCCTGAAATCCCCCAAAACCTTCGTGCAGAGGTGGGCATCGGAGAGATCATGGTCAACCCTGTCCTGCAGCATCTTGCGTACGAGGTGCTTGATGGTGGCGTGGGGTTTAGGGTTTAGGGTTTAGGGTTTAGGGTTTAGGGTTTAGGGTTTAGGGTTTAGGGTTTAGGGTTTAGGGTTTAGGGTTTGGGTTTAGGGTTTAGGGTGGCGCAATATAATGGGGGCCTTAAGAATTTAACAGGGTTTTGGGGTTTACTTGTAGTGTAACTTACACAGGAACCATAAGGGAATACTAGTCGAATTCAGAGTCCAGGTCTCACTAGGGTTGGGAGAGAAGGACACTGCATGTAGACCTTAAACCCTAAACCCTAAACCCTAAACCCTAAACCCTAAACCCTAAACCCTAAACCCTAAACCCTAAACCCTAAACCCTAAACCCTAAACCCTAAACCCTAAACCCTAAACCCTAAACCCTAAACCCTGAACCCTAAACCCTAAACCCTAAACCCTAAACCCTAAACCCTAAACCCTAAGCCCTAAGCCCTAAGCCCTAAGCCCTAAGCCCTAGCACGTAGGATCCGTCTCCCAGGGGGCGCCTTCCAGCATGAAGTCGCTCCTGCAAGCCTTCAACCTCTTCGCGATGGGTGCTCTGCCTAACGGGGTTGCTTCCATCATCAGCCAGGCGTTGAAGCTTGGTTTGCCTTTAGTTGAACTTTAAACCTTTTTGGGTTTCCTTATTTGGTAGGAGTGTTGAAATTTAACCTTTTTTCCCCTTGGTTCTTGGTGTCGTAAGGAAGAAGCAAGTGCCGAACGACCTAAACCAGGCCGCACGAACCCGAAAAACGTCGGGTGCAGGGCGTTTTTATTCCTTTCTGGTCTCCGAGTTATGCAAGAACAGAGAACCCCCCCGGCCGTAGCCTTGATGAACCCCCCCTTATCAGGGAGATTTGCCCATGGTCTACTTCATCAACAGCGCAATCGGCTTCGTGGGCATCATCGCCTTCTTCGTGGTCTTCCGCTTGTCGCCCGATCGCTTCAAGCATGGAAAAGCCGAGAAGGGTGTGTGTACCTTGGATTCGGCGCCTGGGATGCACGGGATGGTAGGATGGTTTAGGGTTTAGGGTTTTTTCAGGTTTAGGGTTTAGGGTTTATATAGGGTTTAGGGTTTAAGGGTTTAGGGTTTGGGACTCTGTGGCTGAAGGACCTGAACCCTACAAATTCGAAAGCCTTACAACAGGGCGTGTGGGGGGAGGGATTGGGATGGATGTCGCTGATTGTGACATGCGTTGAGCGAAAGCCAATGGAACCCTGATCCCATTGCCCCTCTAAATCCTCATCTCGAAACCCTATCTCCTTAGGCCCCAAACCTGAACCCTAAGCCCACGGCCGTCGAGCAAAAGGCATCACTATGCAGCACCAGAGTTTAGTGATGCACTTGGCTCGACGGCCGTGAGTTGGGGCATAGAGTCTGGGAGTTTGGGGTTTAGGGGTTGGGGGCTTCAGGGGTTTGAAGAGTTCGTTTCAGACTAGCCTACAGGGAGGCGTCATAGTACTTTCAGGGTTTAGGGAGGGTTTCGGACTTGCATGTCTACTTATCACACAATTTAACAACAGTGCGGGACCCCACACAATTCTTCATGAGTCTTCATGTTTTACGTAAGAGCCGCGGGGAGGTCCAATTGCACTCAGAACTAGCTGAATGATGTCGTTGGTGATTCCATTCTCCCATCCCAGCAAGAATAAGCTAGACGATAGGAAGTAGTGAGTAGTGTGTCTAAAGCTCCCTCATATTGTCCCCCATCCACCACGACATGATTGCGATGATGCTATATAGCCCCCCCTCCCCCCACGCAGTTTGGAAAAAAAGGTTGGGAGGTTTGTGGGATCCTTGAGAATGTAAACGTCCCAAGCACACATGACATCTGCTCACAGTATTCTCGGTTTCACGCGACCTGCATACAATGGATTATTTCCTATCCAGCCTCTTCCCTAAACCCTCAACCCTCAACCCTAAACCCTAAACCCTAAACCCTAAACCCTAAACCCTAAACCCTAAACCCTAAACCCTAAACCCTAAACCCCTCGCTGGCTAGTCTCGGTGTGCTGATGAACTAACTTCATCTGTTCTTCGCTACCCACATTTATCTACAGTACGCGGAGAGCGATGCTGCCTTCTTCTTTGCATTCCATCCAAGGCAGGGTTTCGGGTTTAGGGTTTAGGGTTTAGGGTTTAGGGTTTAGGGTTTAGGGTTTAGGGTTTAGGGTTTAGGGTTTAGGGTTTAGGCAAAAACCCATTCTCAAAACCTGCTTCTCGATGAAGAGCTCTCCTCAAGACTTGCCCCCATGGATTCTACTTGGCGACTTCTCTAAACGACGGGCCTCAGGATAAGGCAACCCTAAACCCTAAACCCTAAACTCTAAGCCCTAAGCCCTAAACCCTAATATTTAGGGTACCCAAGAAAGGGACCCTAACTTCGAGAACTCGCCATTTGAGTTAGGAAGATGTTGGGTAGACTTGCCTTTGTCAATCACAGTTTTATTTATTTTTTTTAGGGTGCTTAAACCCAATAAGGAATATAGGTTTAAATTTTAAATGCCTATCCCAACCATGAATGAGTTGCTGTCCAGAGGAACGTGAATTTAGCAAGCGTGGTTCCTGTGGCCGGGCCTTTTCACAGTATACTGGGGTTTCCACATCGAGACATGTCCTTGCAGGGAAAGGCCGCTTTGCTTAGGTTGGCCTCTAGCCTCATAAAAGTTTAGGGTTTAGGGTTTAGGGTTTAGGGTTTAGGGTTTAGGGTTTAGGGTTTATAGACATGAGATACTGGAAGCATTGAGCCTCCACAAGAAAGCCAAGGGCCCCTCCAACCCACGACGAATGAATAAGTCTCCTTGAAAAAGCCGGAATCCCTGTTTCCAAGTCTGTCTCTTGGTTCTTTGTTTGACCTGAGGGAACCACCACTTGTCTCAAAGTAAAGTACTGATGAGGCGCCTTAGCCTAGCACAGGGCGCAACAGCAGTGCCAAAACTGCTTAGCCAAGTCCTGAACCCTAAGCCCCGACTTTTGACAAGCCCGTCCCTTCGAGTCGTAATTCAACACGTGATTTTTCCGAAGTCCTCGCACGTTTCTCTTTAACCTACGTTTTGAGGGTTAGGTACTGCCACTCCCGTTTCCTTTCAGGGTTTAGGGCTTGCTGCTAAGATTTTGGCTTGGGGCTTCATGACCCTACAAGAGTTAGCAGAATTGATCACAGATCAACAAATATAAAAGAAACCCATACTTGAGGACTTAGGGTTTAGGGTTAGGGTTTATGGTTAGGGCTTCGGGTTTAGGGTTTAGGGTTTAGGGTTTAGGGGTTAGGGTTTAGGGTTTAGGGTTTAGACACATCCATTTTAGTGTGAGGGCTTACGGTTGTAGGACGCTGAATTGGTGGTACCCCAGTTTTGGGAGACCACCCTTGCTCGCTTTGCGAATGTCTTCTGGTATCGGGGATCTTTGTATTGTCTCTGAGAAATTGTGTTCACAAATATGAAGTTCGCAAATCCCTCGTTAATGCACACCGCCCCGGAGTCACACTCTCAAAGAGAAAACTATGCAAATCTGGCGTGTTCTCAATTCCTTTTGTAGCTTGTTGGAGGTACCAAAAATGGAGCGAGGGCTCTCAAAGTATGTCTGTCGCCCTCACAACCAATGGCTGGAACTTTGGAGGTCTGCACATGTGTGAACAAAGCACGCCCTCGCATGCGGAACCCTGAGCCCAAACTCTCGTAGACGCTTAGGGTTTAGGGTTTAGGGTTTAGGGTTTAGGGTTTAGGGTTTAGGGTTTAGGGTTTAGGGTTTAGGGTTTAGGGTTTAGGGTTTAGGGGGTAAACACAACCAAACCCAAGGACTCGGAATCGGAGGCTTCCTATGTGGAGTGAGCCATCAAAGCCATGGCAGCCTCCGTGCGATATTATCAGAGCCTATGGGAGGGGCCGTCAGGGGCTTCCGAGAACCCTGAGCCCTCTCCAAGCCCAGATCGCGGGCTCCGACATGAAGGTAGGCACCAGTAGTAGCCCATTACAGCCCCTATAGAGTGGTACTACGAGATATCGTGGGTGGTGGTCAAAATTGTGATCCCTTTTGGGCGTAGCCTCAAAATTAGGTGCCGTAGTGGAATAGGGATCCAAAAAGGGACCATCATTTTGACAACCGCCCCCAGTGGTCAAATCCCCGATATTCGTCCATGAGGAATCGGCGGTCGACTCCCAAGTTCCCATGCCTTCGGATCCTGGCTCAACACGCTTTTGCTGCGCCGCTGCCCCCTGACACCCCAAAACCCTGGACCCTGAACCCTAAACCCTAATCCCTAATCTCCAACCCCTCATCCCTAAACCCTAAACCCCAAACCCTAAACCCTAAAGCCCTAAACCCTAAACCCCAAACCCTAAACCTCAAATCCTGCCGGGATTCCAGGCCTCGTTAGTCCTGAGGATGCTTTCCGACTGCCAATGAAAGGTGATGCGTTGATTCAAGAAAAAAAGGTGTCCTGGGGTTTAGGGTTTAGGGTTTAGGGTTTAGGGTGTCAGGTTTTAGGGTTAGGGTTCTGGGTTTAAGGTTTAGGGTTTACATGTGTCCTGGGGTTTAGGGTTTTGGGGTCTTAGGGTTCAGGGTCTTAGGGCTTAGGGTTTTAGGGTTTAGGGTCTTAGGGTTCTAGGGTCCAGGGTTTTGGGTTTAGGGCTTTTAGGGTTGAGGGTTCAGGGTTTTACGGTTTAGGGTCTAGGGTTTGCGTTGTGGCGCAGGCTTCACGTGCGGCTATGTCGTGTGAGGGGAGCCAGTGCCCCCTTTGGCGTCTGCTATGGCTGCGCAAGTACTTGCAAAGCCTCAAAACCTGAACTCCCGAGCTCATCCCTCAGCCTATCCACCCGACCATGTACCCCTAAACTCTATAAACCCCTAAACACCTACACAAGCCCCCAAAACGTCTAACGCCCTAAGCCCTGAGCCCTTACCCGGATACTCCAAACCCTAAACCCTAAACCCTAAAGCCTAAATCCTAAACCCTAAACCCTAAACCCTATATCCTAAACCCTAAACCCTAAACATCCTGGGACTGGGCCACCCAGGCTCATGAGTGCATTCCAAGATGCTCAGATGCACACGGATTGGGTTTTTTCTTGGTAAGGAGGTTTGGGGTCTAGGGTGTAGGGTTTAGGGTTTAGGGTTTAGGGTTGAATTGCAGGATCTTAGCTACTTACGAGCAGGGGCATGCATAGGTACATTCATCATTGGGTTTGTCTATCCTTTTTATTGAGTTACAGGGTTGATTCGGGCAGGAGTTCAGTTCAACATGTTCGGGAGTCATCGGCTTACCCGGATTTGGGAAGACCAAACCCCAGACCCTCCCTAAACTCCTGAACCTCCATCTACACCCTGAATACCAAGCCACAATGTAAAAAATGTGTACACCTTTCTGGGGGTTGGTCCGGGTTTGCCCCTTTGTGAAGGGACTCTGTGGTGTCCATGGCTTTGTTTAGGGCAGGGGGCTTGGGTTTGGGGTTGCGGGGATGTTGACGAGGCTGCAGTTGCATTGTTTGCAACTTCTGCCCCCTCTTAGCCCGCGAAGAGTACTTGAAAAAAACGGCATGGACCGGCACACAAAGCTAACACACTCAGCCGCTCAAATGGGAAATACGCCACCAACCCTGCAACCCTGAACTGCTGCACCCAAAAGCACAACAGGCGCTTGATGCTTGGAAGCATCTGCCTCACAGCTGGTAACCTGCTTGAGCCCTGAGGGCTTCATGTAGGATCAGCCAGAGCCCATCAGAGCCCCCCCCCCCATTCAGGGTTTAGGGTTTAGGGTTTAGGGTTTAGGGCTTAGGGTTTAGGGTTTAGGGTTTAGGGTTTAGGGTTTAGGGTTTAGGGTTTAGGGCAGTAGCATGTCCTCCTACGTGGGTTTCTTCTCAAACCCTAAGTCCAAAAACCCTGCAACCCTAAACCCTGAACCCTTCTGAGGTAATACATACGTATCTACTTTTTTTATGTATACGAATACTTAAATACATATGTACATGGGCTGGAATTCAGGGGTTTTGGGGTTCAGGTGCTTTTTCTATATCAGGGTTCTGGTTCTGGAGG